ATGTTCAATTCGTTCGTATACGTACACGTTCTTAATTTGTTTAGTTAGCCAATATCTTGGCCCATGGCAAGTCGCTAGGGAAAACCAGCGAGATTCTTCCCTATCGATATCAATAACAGGGTAGGTATAGGCGCATTAAATATTCACCAAGTTAATACATATCGTACTACTACGTGACCATATTATCCTTATTGAATACTTGTTGTAGGTAAACCTACATAATATACCTAAACTAATTTAATTCCAAGGAAAATAAGCCTCCTTCTGGCACAGTCGGGTAAAAAGCTGTGATTGGTTAGGTACTACCTACCTAAGGAAGGTACTTCCCTTATCTCTTTTTTTTAACAAAAAGGGCATTTCTATTGCTACTACTTATTTATCTTTATTCAAAAACAAAACACAAGTCATTTTAACAAGACTCATTGTGTTGAAGTTGTATAATTAATCTGTTTGAATATTTTTATTTAGATATAATAAATAATACTTAATTATTATAAATACCTATTCAACCAGAAACTTTATTATTACAGTAGGTACTTATTGTGTGTTATTAGTCAGTTTTATTTAGGTTAACTAACTCCTGTGAGTGAGCCATTGCAAATAGGTACCTACTTACTCTCGAAAGAACTACGGCTGTAATAAGGCCAAATGACTCAATTAATCACGCCGAGGAAGTCATTGTGTATCATTCGGATAACGACTGGTGCTTTTAAGAATGAGCAGGAAAAATATTCTACTTAGGTAATTTTCATTAAGCTTCTTTACTTATGTAACTTTTTTGCGTCTAGCAAAAACCTCAGGTGACATTATCGTTTACAGTCCACAGACTGATCTAATCTTGGTAGATATACTTAGATATTTTCTGAATATAAAAATTCAAACAAGGTAAATGTAGATCATAAGGAAGGATTTGTAAATCTAATCAAAATTCGTTTTAATAGTCGCTCTTTAAATAAAAAACAATTTAAAACCGTATCTACATCGCATTAATTTATTCATCTTTGAGTCATCGCTAACTAAAAACAACAAAAAATACAAAACACCCGGTTATCTTCACACTGATAATAATAAACTTGGCAAACTTCGCCATGATTTCAATTTGTTTTGAAATGATCCAAAAAGGATAAAGGTTTCTGTACTACGCACTTCGCGATGCGCATACAAATTACTTTATGGTAATTCAATAACAACCAACTGCGCAACACGACTTTCATACCAAAAACATGATTTTAATTCACCTTAGGTGACGGTTTGGAACCCCACCTATGATTGAAAAGCACTTATAGATGTTGCGGCATTATTTATGAAATAGTAGGTCCTACACTACAGAGGGTTTTTTTTCATGTAGGTAATTGGTTTTACTGTAAGCGTACCACCCTTACCACGACCTAACCGTAAAAGTTGCCGGTCAGATATTACCCGTTCCAGTAAAAGTAACCGTTCAGCTGAAAACAAAACAATGTTAGGCAATGACGACAGCACCACTTATATTCCTTAGAAATAACTTTGATAGTTTCTATTCCACCCACAAGGTGCAGACACCATAATCATAAAAGTTGCAGGAAGCCCCTTCGAAGTGGCCAATCTGGAAATCGTTGCAGGAGAAGACCTAAATGTTTAGCAGGGGACATTCTTCGGCTGAAATGATCGAAAATTTTCTTTATTTGACAAGTTCGCTAATAAATCACTCCTCCCAGTAACGGCCGGTTCACACATGTCTCCGTTTTACTGTTCCGTTTTATCGTGTACGTTTTTTTTTCGACGATGTATGTATTACTGTATACACAATACTGTGGCGTGTGAAGTGGCTCATACAACTACATACGCCTTAGACGAAAAAAAACGTACAAGATAAAACGGAACAGTAAAACGGAGACATGTGTGAACCGGCCGTAACCAGGCATCTTGCTAGTCTATGAAACTAAAACTGTCGTTATTCCAGGGCTACTCCCCCGGCGACAACTTGCTGCTGCCGCTGCTGGTGGCAGCCCTGTCGTCCATCGCGCTGGTACTGCTGCTCGCGCTGGCGGTCAGGCGCCGCAAGAGGGCGCACACCGCCACCGCGCAGATTGGGGTATGTATAGGCCCGATTCGACCAAACTTTTATCCGAGAATAACTCCTGGTATAACTGATACATTGACAGTTTTAGTATGGGAAATATGTCAAAACTGACGATTTATTCTGAGATTAATATTTTATTTAGTACTAGCTTTCCGCCCGCGGCCTCGCCTGCGTGTAATTTTGTCTGTAACAGAAAAACAATATCGCGCGCGTATTTGCTCACCGTTTAGACCTACCCTGGACTACGACAAACATTTTAAAACCAAAATCAGCTCAATCGGCCCAGCCGTTCTCGAGTTTTAATCAGACTAACGAACATCAATTCATTTTTATTTATATAGATTTACTCTTGTTTGGTCGAATCCACCGTAAGTGTATTTGGGTAGTGGACACGAAAAACCAGTATTCCCAAGACATACCTAATTTGGCTGTAAATAAAATTATATTTTACTCCTTTTGAAATCAAGAATTGTTTACAGTCAACTGAGTTCGCGACCTGATTTTGACATGGGAACCTTTCAAATCTACCCTATGGAAAAAAGTTTGTGATAAATCCCTGTTTGTTTAGTTTCGGCTTCGTACTTACTCGATTGATTAATAAAGGTGCGGTTAGAACAATGAGCGCTATATGCCTTATCTTCAGGTATTAGATCACGTGGTTGAAGCTTGGGGAGCTCTTCTAACTACGAAACACGCGGCAAAAAGAAATTCTGAATAAATACTTATCGAGAAAACAAAATGTCACCTCCAACAAAAGCTGACAACTTCGTTTGTTCCAGAAGTTAACCGCCGAACTTCAGGCTGACGACAACACCAACCTCCTGACCGCCGAGAACCCAGACGACGCAGAGGCCGAGGAGTGAATCCTCCCGCCGCGCTTCCGCTTGTTCCCAGACCGACTAAGAATGTCTCATGTGCACTGTGCAGAGTCAGACCCTTGAGGACATGTTTGTTTACGTTTGGAAACATATATTTTGCAACACGCATCAACACGAACGCACATAAGGCATTCTAAGCACCTTGTAATGATTTAGCCGGCTTAGAGTAGTTCCCACTACAGCAACGGAGCACCAGCTCCTTCTCTCCAATCATTTCAGACATTCAGTGCCTATTGTTTGTATATAATGAACGACTCGGTAGGCCCTCGGATCAGAGATGGCCAGATGTGAATTCCATATTCAGAGATACGATATAATATGTAAGTATATTTTGTAAACGCACTAGATATTCGACTGTAGTTTAGGTACGTACGTGTCAAATGCCAAAGTTGCTAAAATTTATTTTTGTTACGAAATAATCTACAACGTATGGAATCATGATGTCGTCGAGACGATTTTAGATATAGTAACGCCCTCATGAGCTTGCTAGTAACTTTATCGGAACCATTGACATATAAAATATGTTCATTCATTAATTTCATACTGGCAATTACAAACAGATGCTCAAGATCTTCGTCATTTGTAAAAAGCATGCTTTTTGTCCTTATCAAAGCGTTAATGTATTCAAGTCGAGCAGCACAATATAATCTGTAGTTTATTTCTTTAACATACCTACGAGTGAACTGCGGGTGGTCTTAGAGTTTGTGCTATGTATATCATATCTCTGAAGTTTCGATTGTATGACTCGTCAGTATTAACAAAACCCTGTGGTATATAAATGTACTTGTAAGCATATTTATTTTTGGTGTAGTCTGATAGGTTAAGGAAATATCAATTTCGGTGTAATTGGACGTCACTTTCAATTTCCATATATTCCATATTTGCATCATTTTAATATAGATATAAGACTGACGTAAGATTGAGTTACGATTTCAGCTAGTATTGAATCGTGATAATGTTATATGTAGGGCTATTCCTTTTAACGGCACTATTTGTTTTTTGATTGTGACAAGAACTATCGGTGTGTACTTAATGCATAATTGTTTATGTATTTCAATGTTAGATTACACGAGTGTTAGGGGGAGGGAAATGTTCTAGATAGATATTGAATTGTGATACCTCGTAGTATCTCGAGTGCGCGGGTCCCCTGTAGAAGGAATTGCGAGGCCACGGTTGCACGGCTGTCCGCAAGCCAGCACAGTCTTTGGGCAATAGTGGTCGAATATTTAACTGAAGTAATTATAAGTATAAAACCTTATTATCAATCATGCTAGAGACATTTTATATCATGCGAAGTCAAAGCACGGTTACCTATAGAATATATTAGCTTTTGTGTCCAATTAGTATACTGTGGTTGCCTCGAGCAGTGTGATTATTTCGTATTTGCTGATAACACCCACCATGTACATAAATAATGAAATAAATTATGTTTTCCCACCCAACTTGCCTTTTTCTGAAGTTTTATCTGGAGCGTACTTACATCTAAAAATGAAAAACAAGAGTTACCGCAATTGACTTATATTTCATACTATAATCAGACCTATTGTAACAAAAATTTACATTTGAACATAAAATAATACATACTTAGTAACAACATAAATAATAATCCTTGACTTTATGTATCATACGCAATATATAAAACTCCCGCAACTAGGCGCATATATGAAGTTGATACAAAATATGTAAAATGTAATATCAGGAATCACACTCCAGTTTTGATTCAAGTCAATAACTACTAACAGACCAAATGACATGTCTGTCACATACCGTTTTACATTGTTTACAATTTTAACAAAATCACCGAACTGCATTAACATCTTGAGTAATTAAAATATTATGTCAAAGAGGAAAAAGTAAGTAGTTTTGTTTGTTAAAATGCACAATGTCAAACAAGGATAAAAGGTTCAAAACATTACTGCTGAGCTATTTTTCAGAGAACATTTTTTTTGCCGTCCCAGTTTCATGAAATACAACATTTTTTAATATAGATTTAGTAGTTTGTTTTGATAAATTATTTACAGATACTAAAAAAATATAAATAATATACTTTTTTCATGCAATAAATACAAATAAGTATACATTTTGTAAATATCTGTGGAACTTAAATAATTACGGCTTATTCATTACGATGTTCACACTGGCTAAATACAAATGTTTTGAAATAAATATTAAATAATAGTTAAAAATATTAACATTTGTTAAATCAATTCATAGTTCCATTAAGCAATACCAAACATTTTGTATCCGCCAGTGTCAGTGCCAGAAGCACCGTACACAACACCAGTACATATTTAGAACCAAAAATCAATTTTTAAAAGCTCACTTTTATATTATTAAATCAACCTCTTCTATACACTGAGAATATTTTTTTAAATCTTACAAAGCCATTCAACATAAAATGTTGAAATATGATTACAATCTTATTTTTATTTTTCTTAGATCCATTTAACATTGCGTTAAAATTATATTGAATAAAATTAAGCAAACAAATTACCAACATAAAATACTTATGGTCGATTACAATAACTATAGTATAAATTGTTAATTTGTAGCGGTTTAGCGTATTCTTAAAACTGTATGAAGTTTTGTGTGAAAGTTGAATACTGTTTCGAACGTTTTTCAACGCCACATGTATGAATCTTACTTAATAAATATCCCGAACTGCGAGGCAGCAATATATTATATAAAAAAGTAAAACCTAATAAAATTACGCTATTTCTTAAAGCACATTGCACATGTTTCGTTCGGCCCATATTGTCGTATGAGCGTATGACCATCACTTTGCCATTTGCAAAGTTCGTAAAATAATCGAGAATAATCTTTACTGGTTAAAAATTCTGTTATAATCACTTCATGTGATGTGTTTTGATGGTAATTGGATCAAGGGGAGCTTATAAAGCTAACGATCTAGTAACTGTTTCTCTTTGTGATGAAAATAAATAATTTCATTCTTAAAACACCCAAGAAATAATAAATGAACACGCCTTTCAGAATATGTAATTATTTATGAGAAAATCATATAGTCAATTACTGACAAGGTCAACAAAAACCCGCGTCTAGGTGAATTTATTCACAAAGGCATGTCTATATTATTTTTAATTGGAAAAAAATGATTTAGTAAATGAGAGCCCAACTACTCTGTTACTACACAATGGTTTCACAAATTACTTTCTTATCGAGCGTTACGCTATAACGCGCCATCTAGCAGGATTATTCTACACTAAGTTTACCTTTAGCTAACGTTGCTACGGCGGTGGGTGCGCTGGTCTGAGGATTCTGGCGAGGACGTGTCTCCCGCCAACCAGTTTGAGCTGCTGCCCGTCCATTAGTACGCTGCGGACGCCGCTAGATGTCGCCGCTGTACTACTGCTTGCCGCTGACGTCGCCTATCACAAATACGAACGTTAATACGAGAACTCCGAGGATGTGAGTGAATTTTATTCCCCTCTTTTTCAGTCCTGGGATACTGGTCACTCTAGCTGGTAGGCACAATATATTGAGACTGTTATGCGGAATTGACCTAGTAAAAATTGTTATCATAAACTAAAAAGACATTTTGAAAACGACAGGCTGCTATTAACAGACAGTCAATATATTAACCACTTGCTTGCTTGCTTTTGGATTTTCGAGGGCCCTAGTTTTAGACATATATCCGCTTACTGTAGCTAGGTACTATGCTAGTATCATTAGAGTCAGCTTTTTCCAGGAAAATTATGCACAAGCTCATCTTTAGCATTACAAAGTGTTACCAAGCTTGAATATTATGATTAACAAATGAAATCTGAACGATTTGTCAAAAAGTTTTCTATTTTTTGTAGTTGAAGGTATATGCAAATGAAGTACTATGGAGCCATGTACTGTAATATTATTACACTATGATTATGTTTAATTTGTAGTTTTAAATCTATAGCTTATTAAACAGTGTATCTTTCAAGATTATGTAGGCATAATGCAGTTTGGCAGTGTGGTGATGTGGTGGTGCATTAGCAAAGTGTGCAACATGTGATTTCACAGTGTAGTTTTTGAGGTCAACTGTACTACTCAATGACTTATAATCCTCGTGGAGAAATAATAAAATATTATTTAGCTTCATCAGTTAGAAAGATGCCTAAAAGGATAACGGAGCTCTAGTCTAAAGCCAAAACACATCTTTTATACAGCCAAGGACTTACTGAGTGCTGTGTTTATTTCTTAACGAAGATTATAATGTAGCCTTTGTAGACAATTTGTGATTAGATTTGTTTGTCGATTACTCAGTGGAATTATAAAAATACCAAGAATAAATGTTTACTTTCTAAAGATTTTGATAAATAAGATAAGAATGTTATCTATTGCATGTTATTTCCTTGGAAAAGATAAAATTAGAACCATATTATACCCATTCCGACTAAGCCGTTATATGTTATGGCCAAAATCAGTAAATGATTGCACCAGTCACTCTGGTTCATGCAAATGCATAGTATGAATAATATAGATCATGTATTTTAAACTGATGAATGTATATTAGGAGCAAGAACGTGTGCACTTGCACTCGTTTGAGTAGATGCGAGTGAAAGAAGCAGTGTTGCTTATCACTGCAAATTGACGACCATAAGATCTTGAAGACTATTCCTGCCTTACGTTCTCATAACTACAACTATTTTGTAGGTGGATTTTAAACATGAAGGGCAGAAAATGAAATGTTAAAGCCAGAGTGAATTACTCAAAGGAAAATTCCAACTGGTAGAATTAACATCCCAGTACAAAACTTCATGTGACGAACGAGAATTTGTTAGCTATCCGATATGCAAGGTCAAGCTTTTAAGCTTTAATTTAGACGAGAAAGTAGTGTTTTTAGATAGGTAATTTGAAACTAAATTACAATGTGATTGATGTCTATGGATAATAATAGTATCTCGAGCCATTCGATTAGGGCACATTCACATTCATCAGGTTGAAACACACTATAGTAAAGTACATGCTTTATCAAACTACAGCAATCACTCCTTGCACTCAAACCATGCATTGTTCACCTGTTGTATTTTAATTCCCTGCGCGAGTTTTACTTGCTGTAATGGATTCACCTAAAATGTAATTGTTTTCTTTGTTATAAACATCTAATGAACACGTAATATAAAACAATAATGTGATAAAGTTTGAGTCATGTGCAAGATTAATCAGAATCGAGTGTATTTGTGATAAAATACTATTTAAAAGTATACATACCTGCTGCAGTTTTAAAACAGGAGTCGTTGTTGAGGATGTGGTAACTGCTTGGGCACCTAGACAAAAAAGAACAGTAAATTTTATGTTTAGGATCGGAGAGTTAATAAATTGGGTAGTGTGTAAGAAATGTAACACTTACCTAAATTACTTAAAACTATGGTTTGTGAAGGAGTAGCACCACTGCTTGATGTCACACGAATTGCGTTGCCATCACCTTGCTGAAAAGTAAAAAAAAAATAGTAACTTTACACGTAACAGGAATTCGATTTCGCATTTGGGAAAAGATATCTGTACCATTGACTTACGAAGCAGCATACTTATGCTTATTTGGGATTTATTGTAACTATCATCACAACTCAACGTGTTCTTGAGTAAAGGCTATCATCAGATCTGACAGCTGGATAACCTGTGGATCTTTTTGCAGTCGACAGCGCATCAGATTTTATTTGGACTATCGCGCGGATTTATTGCCAATGTCAAGTGTTCAAGGAGACACATACAGATTTTTGTTGTAAAATGATTTGTATCACAAAAAGATAATACGCCACTGTGATTGTCACATAATTTAACATGCTGTCGTCTGTACAAGGTAAATACAGTTTCTGGCAAGCTAGCATGAAAAAAATGCATGGACCAAATACAATGAGGGTTTTCGCGAATGAAAAATCCGCCAAATACGTAAACGCGAGGTCCAAATGCTGCATGATTGGTTATTTTTGACATGACATTGACAGATATGTCAAAATCCACCAATCACGCAGCAGTCAGACCCCACATCCGCGTCCCGCCATCTAGCGGATCTTTCATTCGCGAAAACCCTCATTGCTCATACATGAATGGTCCTTCGGCCGGATAAGTCACATTATTGTTCTCTGTGCCGGTATGCACAATACTTAATCTCTTGCTCATACATGAATGGTCCTTCGAGCCGGATAAGTCACATTATTGTTGTCTGTGCCGGTATGCACAATACTTAATCTCTTCATATCTTATCTTGATCACGTTCACAGTGTCAGCACATTTATCACGATGCTGTGCCGTGTTGATGCTGTGACGTCATTTATCTTTAATCTACATCGTATAAATACTCGTGTAGAACAGACTAATAACAGAGACTAACAACAACTGTTGTTTCATTCATACGGTCCCTAACATGGCACATTGTCCACCGCCTCGTACCTGCAGGATGATGTTGTGCAGCGGCTTGGCGGCGGTGAGCAGCAGCGGGCGTGCCGGCGACAGCACGCGCACGGCGGCGCGGCCTCTTCCTCCGGCCAGTTGCAGCTGAGGCACGCCGCGGGCGCCCACAACGCCTTCTAGCGATATCATCTGCCCCTAGAACGTGGGATAAGCACATAAAATCGTTACTAGTGAGCGCGTAAAAAAATTGCATTAAGCCTAGGCGCAGACCATCGATTTTTCGTCGGCCGATAGTTTAGTCGGGCAGTAAATCAGTATAGGCATGTATGGAAGTGCGCACATTACACCGATTTGAATTGGCCGATTCTTCATTCAAATTAAAATCGGGCCCAACTATCGGCCAACTAAAAATCGATGATCTGCGCCTAGTCTAAATGTATGACGGATTGTACAGCCCCCTAGCGGAAACTTTCAAGAACTAAAATCTTTGTATATTTTTAACGCGCTCGCTAGTGACGGCGTTTGATGTAAACTCACACTAAGCCCTCAGTTTCAAAGAAACTTTCTTTACTTTAAAATAAGGTCCGTACGATAAATGAAGGGAGCTTGAAGAGGTTATTGATTAAATTGATTAAAATAGATATAGCTTTATTGATGTAAATACACTGTAACATTTTATCTGGTTCCTAAACTAGTGTAAAATGTATTTCAGGAGCCTGTTTGATGATTAATTGTGTGTATAAGACAATCCCAGTACAAAATGTATGACTGAGATTGAATCGGGTTTTCTGTAAATAAGCATTTTTAAGCTTTTAATGAAAGATCAAAGATAAATGACAAGATTTACAGGTGGTGCTGGATTAAAATAATATCCATCATCACAAAATTTTCGCGTTTTTAATGTGCATAAAATACGATTAAACTTACTTGTGCATTCGTCAGTAGTTTGGCGACGATCGGCTGCGCTGGCTTATCGCCTGTCGACTGACTCCGCACCACTTGAGTGATTTTCGGCGCCGGCTGATTCGCCAACTGAACAGTCTGCCCGCTAGCCAACTGCAAAGTCTGCCCACTGGATAACTGGACAGTCTGCCCACTGGACAGCTGCAGGGTCTGGCCACTCGGCAACTGAACAGTTTGGCCGCCCGCCAATTGAACTGTCTGCCCCGCTATTTGCACTGTCTGAGATCCCAATTGCACACTCTGCCCGCTCGGCATCTGAACACTCTGTCCGCTGGGCAACTGAATGTTGGACCCCAACTGCACAGTTTGGACGTTTCCACTCGCCAGCTGAACGGTTTGCCCACTCGGCAGTTGCACACTCTGCGACGGTATAACGCTCTGGCTAGCCACTTGCACGCTCTGACCACTCGGCAGTTTAACCGTGTGGCCCGTCAACTGCACACTCTGTCCCGCCAGTTGAACAGTCTGGCCCGCTATTTGAACCGTTTGTCCCGATAACTGAACCGTTGAAACAGGTATTGGAACAGCTTGGCTAGTTTGAACGGTTTTGATCGTGGGTGAAGAAGGGGTGGCGCGAGGACTTGGGTTTTTGACTGCCGTCGTCGATACCGCCCTTACAGCTTGCATGGTCGGTGATGCTAGTTGAACAGTTTGACCACTGGGTAATCTGACACTATGCGTTGGGAGTTGGAGCGATGAGAGTTGGAGGGTGTGTCCTGATAGTTGAACCGCCTGGCCGCCAGGTAAGTGGACAGTTTGGTTGGCCGCCAACTGCACTGTTCTGCCGCCGGCCAGTTGAACCGTTCGCGTGGATACCGCAGACGTTGCTACTGTAGGCGCACTGCTCACAACTGACGTTCCCGCTGCGGCCTGAAACCGAACACATTTATTATCTCTAAATCGTTCTACAATGTGGAAGTGTAGTGGATAAAATATTATTCTTATTACCTGAGCCATAGTGGTAACAGACGTCGTGCTTGCAACTGGAGTACGTTTCTTTGCGGCAAACGCCGCTGGAACCGTTGTAGCACCTATTCAATAAATAATTAAGTGTCAGACATTAATTTAAATCCTTTTAAAAACACTAAATACTCATAATTAATCGTTATCGGCATGACTTACCTTGTTGTAAGAGAGCTCGTGGTGAAATTAGAGATTTTCCTGAAGACTGCGTCGCCGGGCTTAACACTCTAACCACACCACGACGCGAAGTAGGCACCGCCTGTTAATAAGGTTCGGTTACTACCGGTTTTTTGGGAAAACTCAATAATATCACTAGTAAAAGAGAAAAAATCATAACATCACTAGAACTAACGTTTTGAAGAGCGATGTATCAAAATTATACATGAGACACTCAACAATGATATGATTATATTACTCCTTTTCTGAACAATATGTTATAACACTAAAAACATATTCCATTATATTTTGAATATTTGCAATGTTGGGATGCATGATTGTGTCATATTTACACGCAATGCGTTGGGATTCGTGATTATGTAAATCCCATCCACGCACAATGAATGAGGGCTATCGTTTTTATACTTAACAGTTGGCACTTGACAGAACCTTACTCTGCAGTGGCGCCATCTTGATGAGTGCAAATGCGAATAGTCCTCCTACCACTTTCGCGCTCACCAGTTGGTGCCACTGTCTTCGCTACTAGCAAGTGACAGGACCTTACTCTACAGTGGCGCTAACTGGTGAGCGCTAAAACGATAGCCCTCATTGCGATGCATGCGATGTTATTCTATCGGCCACAATGTTAACTATCCATTTCCGTTTTTGATCTCGCTCTCCTCAAATGGTGATTCTTTGCGATAGAACGAGACGACATGACTCGAACACTTAACACTAAGGCCCTTTTCACACGTTCCGGTTGCCGGCTAACCGGCGCCGGGTATCCGGTGGTGAAGTGTATGGGCATGGTACGTAGCCGGATGCCGGATTAATTACGCCGGAACATGTGAAAGCTATGGGACACTTCACCACCGGATACCCGGCGCCGGTTAGCCGGCAACCGGGACGTGTGAAAAGGGCCTAACACTGTTGCCGATAGAATAGTACAAAGGTGTGCAACGAACCTGCGTGGTGGGCGTGGCGGCGGCGGTGGCGGTGGTGGGCACAGCGGGCGGCCGTATTAGCAGCGAGCGCGTGCCCTGCACCAGCTACAATGATCCCACTGTTATGTTCATGTCCACTAACATCTATCGGGGAGTCTATTCGAAAAGGGATTTTCCACACTAAACAAACTCTCAGTAAATCGAAAAAATCTCTGCATAACCTTTATAGTAATTAGCACTTTTTGAGATAGCATTTTGATCATACTTGAGCATAGAGCATGCATTATGGGATCTGAGATTATGACATGGACTCGAAAAAAAAGAGATCGTCCAAACTAGAAAAACTCGCTATGAACAGACACTCCTCAATACAGAATACATACACTATTTGATAAGTTGTATAAGCTACATCTTAGATTTTATTTATCTTTTTTCATAGAAGACACAACAGGCGGAGGAATGTTGTGTAGACATGATCAGTCGTAAGCTGAGTGGCAGACAGTATAATGGCATGTAACGTCATCATATTATTATATTAAATGTCAGCAAATAGTGCATTCTAAGATTAAGTTGATTAATAAACGAGCTGCTACTACTAGTTGATGGTAAAAGCAGTTTTAGTTAATTTTTCATTAAAAATTACCTTATTATGAGTTTGTATCGTTGAGACCGTATGGACTTGCTGTATCGGCGGCGTAGGGGCATGAGAGGGCGTGGCCGGTGCCGAAACCTTAAACAATGGAAACTATCAATTATATTGTACAGTAGTAACTAACATAAATAAAAATTGATGATGATAGAGCTTTTTTTTTATAATAATCTGTGCCAAAAGGTAATACGTACAGTAGCCTGTGGAGCCTCCACCCGCTGCATGGGCCTCTGCTTGATCAGCGGCGACTTATGGGGCGGCGTCACTACAGACGGCAACGATTTGGATATCTGAGCCACCGCCTGAGCCGTGGCTTGGCTCAACTGTCCCGGCGCACTCTTCGGTTGAGCCGGCTTCGCCTGAGGCACCACAGTTTGCTTCGTCTGGATCACAGTAGACTTCGGCGACTGAGGCGGCTGTTTCGTCACGCTCACGTGTTTCGTCTGGATCACGCTCGTCTGCCGCGGCGGCGTCTGTTTCGGCGTCGGAGCCGGCGGCGCCTTCTGAGCGGCGACTATCGTCTGTTTCGGCGTGACATTCGTTTTGATCGTCTGCAGGGGCGGGGCCGCTTTCTGTACCGCCTGTTTAGCGATCTGAGACTGTTTTACCGATTGACTCAGGAGGTTGGCCTGTTTTACAGCCTGGCTCATCAGCGTGTGTTTAGCGGCTTGGCTCAACAAGGTGGCCTGTGTAAAGATTTTAGAATTCAGTATTTTAGAAAAAAAACTCAATTAACTATTAATTAAGCATTGCATTTGACTACTTCCGTATCCGGGCATGTCGTCGATACGAGCCGGTCGACTTTGACGAATGGAAGGGGAAGTTACTTTATCGCTGGCATGCCGCCGGACAAGCAGTTCGATTTGAGCGTTCGAAGCAAGAGGTACAACTAGGTGTCGTAATGTTGAAATTGTGTAAATCAGTGGTGCTAAATACATAGTTAAACAGTGTACAAGTGAGTTTTATTATACCTGTTTCGCGGATTGAGTCATCAGGTTGGGTTTACTCGTCGTCGGTTTAGGCTGGGGGCTGGGCTTGGGTTTGGGCGTGGCGACGAGTTTCCCCTTGGGCTTCGGTGCAGGCGGCGGCTTGGGTGGCGCGGCCTGGGTGGCAGCCATTAGCAACTGGGCCGCAGATGATACATGCGACGCGGCGGGCGCGGACGTGTCGTCGACGTCTACGTCACTATCCGACGCGTTTTCGACCACTTCTTCAACGCTGCCTACTTCTAGTTCCATCTGCAATAAGGAAGTGAGAGATATCAGAGATGATGATTTATGCAAATGCCGTAGTAACAAGCCAAGGGAAATGAGAACTAGTATTTAAAATAGACCAATGCATCATGTCTATGCATCATCCTGACATTATAAATTGCCTGTTGAAAGGTTGGTGATGAAATGAAAAATAGATCACTCTTTATGTCGTATTAGATAAGATCATACTCTACGTATCGAAATATGTACAAAAAAGTATTTAGGCAGATTTTATTTATTTATTTCATCTTTAATGCCATATAATTGGTACATTGCCTGTTTATTTTTAGACTTCCCACCGCGAGCGCACCGAACCCATTAATAACTACGTTTACCTCGCAAAACTGTTTCCACCAACGCCAGACAAAGGGCAAATACAGTAAAAATGAGCTTGCTCATCAGATCAATAAAAAGAGTGGGAGACTCTTTTTCGGTGGAAAAGCAATCTTATTTATACACGAAGACCGCTCCGCTAGACATACCTTGATCATTCCTCTTTGGCGGTGGAAAACGGGCTTTATCTTCTGTAGTACCACAGAATAATAATAAGTACTACGAACAGGTTTTCTTCGCGAAGGTATTTAAAAAAAAATGCTCAATGTCGTGAAGAATATGGTGTAATTTAGCTTGTCTCAAGAGTCGCGTACCGTTTTCTTGACATATGTCAGTGACCGGTACTACGCCGATTCCATAGGGCTGACTTCGGTAAAATATTGTGTGACGTGAAGTGCCAAACTGCGGAAAATGGCGGAGGAAATACATGATTAAGCATGAATTATATTTTGTGTTTCTAACATTATTCAGGCAGATAAAATACTGCACAGTATTAATTAAACCTCCGTTTTTTTCTTCTACTTTATGTAGTTTATTGTATTAAAATGCAAATGGGTGAAGAATACACATGCGTGCGTCAGTGCTCGCTCGCTCGTGAGTGTTCTATCGATTAAGTATCCCAGTAGGTGTCGTCGCGCGTGTTTTGTTTTTCATGCAAACTCGCGGAGATGAACAGGCCTGGTAGTACTTACAGCAGGTTGCGGCGCCGGGTGCGGTGCCGAATGCGGCTGTTCCCGCGGCTGCTGCGGCGGGCGAGGCGGCGGTGGTCGCGGCGGCGGCGGCGCGGGCGCGGGTTCCGGCGTCGGAGCCGTGGACGCCGACGCTGCCGCAGCCGCCGCGGCCGCAGCTGCCGCCGCCGCCGCCGCTTTACCGCCGCGCCCGCGACCCGTTGTCTTTACCCAGTCTTCTTCAGACCTATTGAAGCAATACTGGGTGTCACTTCGCTGTTAAGGTACGATTAGTCGGCGTTCCTATTGAGAGGCGTATGGCAATAGGTCGTTGTCAAAATTACAACTCTAGCGTGTCGTTAGAAAGGTGTCGATGAATATACAGGGTGTTTCTTGTAAGGTGTCAAGCCGAAGGCAGGTGATAGGTGAGGACTAGACCTATCGATTTCACCCCCATGTATGTTCTACGATTTTTCGTAGTTTAGAAGTTATCGTTAATTTTGTGATTTTTTCAAATTTCATGACCTAGTGGCTTAATGTTTTTTTTATCTTTTTTTTGGGTTGACTTTTCTCAGATTTCTTTTTTTTTAACAGATTTCCTATTAGTTGCAGATATTTGAAAAAAATAATCACCTTCCTATCTTTGATGCAAGATACAAAATTTTTGCTAGAAACATAAAAAATATGCTTTTAGCAGAACATTCTAAAATTTTCAAAAAAAAAAAATTAAGCCACTAGGTCATGAAATTTGAAAAAATCACAAAATTAACGATAACTTCTAAACTACGAAAAATCGTAGAACATACATGGGGGTGAAATCGATAGGTCTAGTCCTCACCTATCACCTGCCTTCGGCTTGACACCTTACAAGAAACACCCTGTATATTTTTTAAGATTATTAGCAATTTGTATTGCACAAATTACTAATAGTCCCGTTAGCCCCTCGTGTCAAGCTAAATAAGCTTGTGTTACGTACGAGTTGGCTCACCACAATAGTCGAGCGGCGGTGGTGGGATTCGAACGCGCATTCCTCAGATCTCGAGTCGGCCAGTCCGACCACTTCACCGTTGGGCTATCGTGGCTAATTTAACGGTGCATTCTTAGCACTGAGCTAACTGAAGTTTATAGAAAGTGCCTATCTTGGTTGATTGGTGGTTTCAACAACAAGTGAGTATAGTAGCTATTGAAATCACTGTTGAAGCCCATATAACTAAACGGGAATTCTAAAATCTAAAGTGACAAAATTATTATCTTTTAGCTCGAATACTCTATTTAGCAAGAATGACACTGTTACTCTATTTATTCTTAATTATTGTAACAATGTAACCATACTGACCTATTCCTATGTAAATACGTCCACACAGCAGTTCTTTGGTCATATTTCACGACGGGGTCGCGTTTCGCAGAGTGCAATCTATCCAAAGCCGAAGAGAGCGCGCTGAGGAGTGCCTGGTCGTTGCATGAGCCGATCCATTGCGACATTCTGAAAGAAAAATGCATTTGATTATTGTTACCACTTGTAAAATTTGTTCTAATAATAAATCAGAGTATTCACATCACATCAGAGGACGGCGATACGGGACTATTTCCACCTCTCTTTCCCACCTCTGCAACTCCTGTATAGCCAGGATCTACCTACAACTTGACCGTCAATAAAAACCCAAACAGCAGGGACGGCGTCAGTGTTACATAGTTTAACACCGAAGGTGTCACAGGCCTAAGTAAGTTGTCATTCACTCACTCTACTCATTAGTGAAGAACATATTGTACGTATCTATCCGGCTCGAAGGACCTCAAATATTTGGAGGTTCAAGACAATTTAAAATGTTAAAATCGATCACTTACTAGAGCAAAGTGAGCAGCCGATAAGGATTATTGTACTGTGTGTTTCCGGTAGAACAGAATAGGTGGGAATCCTATCCTCTTGTTCATTCAAGGATCCAAGGATTTCTTGCGCTGCCCGTTGAGAAATTCTCCATTCGCCTCTAATAAATGATATGGTTGTGGTCGTGCAATGCAAACCAAACGACCTAAAGTTGACGATGATGCGCACTCACTTGAAGATGGTTGTGGTCTTGCAGTGGAAACCAAATGACCTGACGATGATGATCATGTGTATAGATTGTTTCATCCACGAAGACGCGTCCCACCATTCTTCCGCTAATGTTTGAGTGTTATCGGTACACGCTAAATTATCCATGAGTGCACACGCACACTACAATAATGACTCTCGGATTGATCGGATCAAACTCCCCGCACCCCGCGCTTCCCTCGACCAAAAACTGGTGGGGCGCGTCTTCGTGGATGAATCGATCTATGCTCCCTTGAAGATGGTTGTGGTCGTACAATGGAAACCAAACGTCCTGACGGTGATGACGAGCAGTCACTTGAGCAGCGTGAGCACGTCGTGGCGCGTGCCCTCTCCGTTGGGCAGGCGCGCCACGGCGTCGCGCACGAGCGCGATGAAGCTGGCGTGCCGCGGCCGCTCCGCCGCCAGCTGACGATGACTATGACGAGCACTCACTTGAGCAGCGTGAGCACGTCGTGGCGCGTGCCCTCTCCGTTGGGCAGGCGCGCCACGGCGTCGCGCACGAGCGCGATGAAGCTGGCGTGCCGCGGCCGCTCCGCCGCCAGCAGCGAGCCCTGTGTGCCGCAAGCTGCGGATGCGCGCACGCACGGGCCTACCACCGACCGGTATCTGTAGAACGAAGCAATAAATGCATCTTATAAATGCGAAAGTAACTCTGTCTGTCTGTCTGTTACGCTTTCACGCCTAAACCACTGACGCGATTTTAATAAAATTTGGCATAGAGATAGTTTGAGTCCCGGGAAAGGACATAGGATAGTTTTTATCTCGGTTTTTGAAACAGGGACGCGCGCGATAAGGGTTTTTTTGTGACAGACAAAATTCCACGAGGGCGAAGCCGCAGGCGGAAAGCTAGTACCTTATAAATCCACAAACACTAGAAAGAAAGAAGCTTTTATTACGATGAACATCACTAAGTTAAGAGAAAAAAGTTATACGAAAAAATAGACAGAAATGATAAATATTGCAAAGAAATAAAAAGTGAACCGAGCAGTGCCACTCTGTCGCAAAAGTGCAGCGATACCCATCGCAATGGGAACCTACTCAGCATATGCCGTGGCCCACGGTGAGGAAGGCCACGACGCTGGTTTCGTTTTAGGTATGATGGACTAGTCACAGGATCTACAAATGATGAGCTTTCAGTCAGACTCTTCTTGCTCACATTTAATTTTATCATGTAACGATGACCATTATGTAAGCTGTTAGTAGCATCGTAGCTCTCTCCTGTATAATAAATAAAATAACAATAGAATACATACCCATGCTGAAGGTATGTAAAGGGCTTGGCAGCAGCGGCGAATCTCCGTCGCTCTTGGGCTCTGAATTCTGTAATCTCCGCTACTGTCGGCGCACGCATCACCCACGATGTCGGATACCTATTCAAATAAAACTCACATATTTATCACAAGTATATGCCACAAAATATTAGTATAGATAGAAATATAGTGAATTAGTATTGCGTTTAGTTGTATTCCAAACATTTAACGAAATATGAGTACAATAAAAATTAATTCTAAATCTAAGGGATTTACCTCGGCGGTGGGGGCTCACTGGTAGGCGGCCCAGGGGAAACGGCTCGCAGCCATCGCTCGCACAGCCGGCCCAGTATCGCGTCGCAGTCGCGGCCTGCGCCGATCCACTGGTACATCTAGATAAAAACGGAGTGTATTTTTTATGATTACCACAGGAACCTATTAAGTTATAAGCTATACCTGGAGAAATAGTCACAATGACTTAATGAATTGTGAACTTACTTGAGTCTCTGGCAAGAACTGTAGGTACGGCACAAAGTCGTCAGGATGCGGTCCTCTCTCCCCAGATAGAAAATCTAGGGCAGAATCTAACTCGGAACACCAATCGTCAGATACTGCAAAAACATAAAACGCATGTTATAGAGAATGAGAAAGTCTATAATAACTCATAGTCATAATCTACAGGGTATAGATAAATAAGTATGGTTTCTGCAAATGAGGCCTACTATATTAGCACTCACTAGTTGGCGCCTCTAGCGACTCATAAAGCTTCACCAGACAGTGGCGCCAATTAGATAAGTGTAAACAAATGAGTGACTATCTCCCGCCAAACTAAGCCTAGGCGCAGACCATCGATTTTTCGTCGGCCGATAGTTTAGTCGGGAAGTTGATCAGTATGGGCATGTATGGAAATGCGCACATTACACCGATTTTATTGATATTCTAACTAGACATTGCAAGTACACCTGCACTAGTCTAATACACTGGCCAAGTCAATAAAAGTTACTCACAACTGTACCAAGTGTTGAGCGGCGCTATGGGCGACTTCATCACAGCCGCGCACCTCGCGTGCAACTGCTGCTTAGAAGCCCTGTGCGCCGCCCTCGCCGGGAACAGAGCCCGGACCAGACGCGTTCCAACTTGATGAGTGCAAAATTAGAGGGACTATTTCCCGCCAAACTTATACACTAAAAACCAGCAGTATATCCGCAGCATTCTATTTGGTTAATCCAGGTCCAGTTCAGTCCAGCATTTGCCAAGCCACCTGCACTATTAAACCAGTTGCGCGCAACTTGATGAGTGCTAAAATAGAGGGGCTATCTCCCGCCAAACTTATACACTAAAACTAGCAGTATACCCCCAGCATTCTATCTGGTTCATCCAGGTCCAGTCCAGTCCAGCGTTTGCCAAGCCACCTGCACTATTAAACCAGTTGCGCGCAACTTGAGGAGTGCAAAAATAGAGGGGCTATCTCCCGCCAAACTTATACACTAAAACTAGCAGTATACCCGCAGTATTCTAGCTGGTTATTCCAGGTCCAGTCCAGTACATCTTTTGCCAAGCACTAATAAATCGTTTTAATTAAAAGTTACTCACAACTGTACCAAGTGTTGAGCGGCGCTATCGGCGACTTCATAACAGCCGCGCACCTCGCGTGGAGCTGCTGCTTAGAAGCCCTGAGCGCCGCCCTCGCCGGGAACAGAGCCCGGACCAGACGCGTTCCAACTTGATGAGTGCAATAATAGAGGGGCTATCTCCCGCCAAACTTAAACACTAAAACTAGCAGTATACCCTCAGCATTTTATCTGGTTATTCCAGGTCCAGTCCAGTCCATCTTTTGCCAAACCACCTGCACTATTAAACCAGTTGCGCGAAACTTGATGAGTGCAAAAATAGAGGGGCTATCTCCCGCCAAACTTATACACTAAAACTAACAGTATACCCGCAGCAATCTGGTTATTCCAGGTCCAGTCCAGTCCACCTTTTGCCATACCACCTGCTCTAATAAATCAAGTTTATTAAAAACAAGTTACTCACAACTATACCAAGTGTTGAGCGGCGCTATCGGCGACTTCATCACAGCCGCGCACCTCGCGTGCAACTGCTGTTTCGAAGCCCTATGCGCCGCCCTCGCCGGGAACAGAGCCCGCACCAGTTGCGTGCCAACTCGATGAGTGCAAAAATAGAGGGGCTATCTCCCGCCAAACTTATACCCTAAAAACTAGCAGTATACCCGCAGCATTCTATTTGGTTATTCCAGGTCCGGTCCAGTTCAGCTTTTGCCATGCCACCTGCTCTAATAAATCGGGTATATTGAAAGTTACTCACAACTGTACCAAGTGTTGAGCGGCGCTATGGGCGACTTCATCACAGCCGCGCACCTCGCATGCAGCTGCTACTTCGAAGCACGATGAGCCGCCCTCGCCGGGAACAGAGCCCGCACCAGAGGCGTGCTAACTTGATGAGTGCAATAATAGAGGGGCTATCTCCCGCCAAATATACACTAAAAACCAGCATTATACCCGCAGCATTCTATTTGGTTAATCCAGGTCCAGTCCAGTTCAGCTTTTGCCATACCACCTGCTCTAATAAATCAAGTTTATTGAAAACAAGTTACTCACAACTGTACCAAGTGTTGAGCGGCGCTATCGGCGACTTCATCACAGCCGCGCACCTCGCATGCAGCTGCTGCTTAGAAGCACGATGAGCCGCCCTCGCCGGGAACAGAGCCCGCACCAGCGACAAGTAGTTGGCGTGCGTGGTCTCCGTCAGCGACTCGTCGGCGTCCACCACTCCGTCGCCCTCGCCAGACGTGTCCGCCGGCACCACCTCGCCCGAGTCGTCCGCCAGTTCTACAGGCAAAGCCATCATGTCTGCAAAGATTACAAGTTGTTGCGTGTGGAATAAGGTATGTTATTTAATGGTTGGGGATTGACTTCGATGCAGACTTTGTGATACATTATGAAGCCTTATGGTTCAACCACACCAACGCGTCCAGATCATAGGCCAATGACAGTGCCGCGACCCATGACAGTCCGCACGACCTGTTATTGGCCTATGATCGCGCCGGCAATGGCACGCGCTGGTATGATTGAAGCTTAAGGCTAATTACACACAACACCGCGGCTTTTAAAGCTATAGCGACTGATATGTATACGCTCTTTGCGGTATCATGCCGCTAACGCCGGTGCGGTGTAGTGTGTAATCAGCCTAACGACACCAAATGCGACATTATTATAACAATCTTATTTTCTAAACGTACCTGGGAATGGACAAGCTATGAAAATATTGAAGGTCAATGTCAGTTTGTTATATGTAAAATGAATAAGTATCTTGAAATAAATAATGTGAATTTATAATGCACATAAAAAGACATCCATAAACAAAAGGCAAGTGGTAATTTCAATCATATAAAATATAGAAATCAACAAATAATGTCACCACCCATGTTACACAGAAGTTTACCCATTATTCTCAAGTTTGAACATTTAAATAAGTCTAATTTTACTTGCACTTACCTATACCATCTAAATCTTCTAATTTTATAGGAACTGGTTGGATTAGCCTAGATGCATTTTGAATTGCTAGAGTAGGGTCGGGTGGTTCTTGTTTTATCATATGCTCTAGTTTAGCATCACTATAATTGATACTGGAAATAAATAAAATTGCATTAGCAATGCAATAAATAAATAAAATATTATTATTTATCTTCTTAGTGTGAATACTTACTTTGGAATATTAGGATACTTGGGGTCTATTACTTCTTGCTTAATGTCTGAGTGGTCCAGTAACTTCTTGCCAAGCTTTGGACTTGTTACAGGATCTACAAATGATGAGCTTTCTGAGTCGGACTCTTCTTGCTCACATTTAATTTTAATATTTGGTAGCAAAGGTCTATTCTCCACACTTTCTGTAGGTTCCTCTTTACTCTTCTTGATGGCTGCTTTTGATTCTTGTGTTTTTCCTTTGCCTGATTCTTTTCTGGGCCCTCTCTTGAGTTTCTGTATAGGCGAGTCAGTTTTTTGTCCTCCAAACATTAACTTTTTGCTACCATTTACGAGGGCTACCCTTTGCTTTATATCATCTAAAGTTATACCAGCTGTATTCAGCTCTGGATGATTCTAAAACAAAGAAGACATTATTAATTAAGCACCAGCTACTATTAGTTTCATAGTATAATAATTTATTTATCATCACATACTTCTCTGTATTGCCTTCTTATTCTATGAGAAGCCAGTATATTCTTTAGACAATCCATAGAAGTGGCATGGGTGGTTTCAGAACCCCCAAGTGTTCCTGAGACATTACCATCAGCATTCTGAAATACATAAATAATAAATACAGTAAGTATTTATTTTACTAATTAAATTCTACATGTATTAACTTACTTCTAGTTACAAGGCAACAACAACTTATGATATTGTATCAGAATAAAACAATACAGACTATGACTATGTATTGCTTTTGTTTTTGATTTTTAGATGACTAACTTTGTTTTTACTTACTTGGCCAACATTTACTTGTTTTCTTTTCCTCATGTGCAAAACAGGTGGACCTTCTGGGTAATTTTCATCTTCTGATTCATCACCACCCACTTCACCCTGAATTGCAGCTAGCTCTTCGAAATATCTTTGTTTTGCTCTTAAATGAATTGATTTATAGTTGCTCCTAGCCGTAGGCTTCGGTGGAAGGGGCAGAAGATGTGGAACTAAACCTGGAGGCCCTGCCCGGGCCGCTGCCAATATTCTTTCTCGGGATATCAACACTTCAGGCAACAGTTTAGCAAAATATGCTTTTTCCTGAAAATATACAAATCAAACTTGAGTGCTAATCTCATAATGATGATAAAAAGCATGAAGAGTTGACTATAAACAAAGGTAAATACCTTATGCTTCTGCTGCTTATGTCTGGCTTTGGACAAAAACTTTCTCATCTTGGCAATGTCTGGTCTATAGTTCCCCTGTCTCAAATTGTTATAAAAAGTAGTAAGAGGTGAAGTAAAATGAAATGGTTCATGATTGAAGAACATCTTTATTGTCTTTTCTGTTTCCTCTTCTTCATTTTCAGTAAACTTGGGGAGATACTTCTTCAATTCTTCTTTATGGTGATCTTCCAGTGATTCCCAAGTTTTCATTGAAAACAACTCTTTGAATATGGTGTAGTCTTCACAGAGATCTTGTGGAACTTCCAGTGTTTGCCCCATGACTCGAATCGGCTCCATAACTTCCTCGTCGGCATCTGAGCTACCGCTGGAAGTATCTGAAGAGCTACTGCTGCTCTCCCCACTAAAACTCTGTTCACTCTCCATCTTTTCATCCATGATGACCACGGAGGAAAATCTTCAGGGGCTTTCACTAAATGATGCCTAAGATTTTCACTCACAAGCGCGTAGATTTTCCAACAGTTGCTAACGATGAATTTTCGCATTGATATGATCCTGTTGTTTACGAAAAACCGAAGGAAGAGTATTGCAAAGTCGAATCAAGGGCCATGAAGACTTTTACTCAGCCGTCAAGTCTTGTCTAAAATAAAATAGAACGCACACGCCAAAACACGCTGTTTCATACATACTATGCGCCAGAACGGCACATTACGATGAGAAAATAGCTTGACAATCCCGAACAGCGACATTTTGACCGTACGCAAACCAAGATTTTAAAACAAAAAAATTGCTTGTCCATGGATTGTAGTCTCTACCTTGTCTATGGTAAAAATCATAGACTAAAGATGAGCAGCTGAGGCTTAGCGTTTAGTTTCAATTTATTGTAAGAACAAATTAGGTGTGAAAAATTATATCTAGCATTTTCCTTTAAAATTTTAGAACGGTGTGAGCGTTAGAACTAGATTAACTCATTGGTAGTAGTAAAAAAATGTATAGGGATTCCATATTCATTTAGGAAACTTCATGAAATTTGTAACAAAACGCACCAGCAAAAAACCAAAAACAAGACTCGGCGGGCGGCAGTGGGACGATGGTGGTGTTTGTCGGATTTGACTTTTTGACGTAAATTATTCGTGTAGTAAATATGGCTGACGAACTCAATGTTGACAGTCTAATTCACAGACTTTTAGAAGGTAAATTATCAATCTTATTTAGTTTTCTTAGCCACATAAGTAATATAACACATACTTGATACGTTGAGTAAATGATCCATGCTCATTATGTTCTTAGTTGCGTAATTATCATTGAGTATGTAGAGGTATAGAAACGTCAAACTCATAAATAAATCGATTATCCTCAATTCTTATCTGAATCTACTTTTGATGTTGCCTCTAAGAAGTGGACGATAGCTATTTTCGTCGCACGTACAAAGCCAACCTAATTTACTTAGCGGTTTGCTGAAGATGCGCTCCAAAGCAAGGAATGTTAGGCGGCTCTATAGCATGGAACACTTCTCTGGTCATATTGTTCTGCTTTATGCACATTATACTTGATTTAAACATGTTTATTTCACTTTATTACGCTGCTAATTGGTGGGTTACAACAGTGTACAGACAGCAGCAGGAAACAGCGAGGAGAAAAGGGAAATTGAAAGACATCTTTTCAGGAGAATGTATGGTTTCATCCAGATTCTTGTGGAAGTATTGCGCTAGATTCTTTTTGTTTTTATTATTCCTTTAGTAATATATCCTGACAGACAATCCAAACCCAGGAGTAAACTCCCCAAATTGTAGCTCCAGAGTTGCTACTACAGTTGAGATTTGACATTTTGTCATGAATATCCTAATGTGTTCACCTTATCAAATTTGTCAAAACAAAGGCAATTAATTTATTACAGTAATCAGTTTCAAATAATTTATGAAATGAAACTGAGCTTGTGGATGTTATAAACAAGGAGTATACCTTTATTTATCAACTTATTTTTTAATACTGTGGCATGTACAACAATTTATTTTTAATATTATTTTCAGTATACCCTACCAAAATATTGTGTTTGTGTCGGTATGAAAATGTGAAATCGTCAGAATGATCTGTCGGAACCAACATTATCTTATTTTGGAAGTAGCTTATGCTATTTAGGCATGCTTTTTATAAATTCAATTATGTATCATTTAGTTTTGTTTGTAATTAATGCGTATGAATGGTGTAGAACTTGTGTGTGTTTCTATGTTGTTGAGACAAATGATCATAAAAATCAACAATATGGTCATTGCATTTAGTTTCATCATGCTTGAGGCTGTCATCATCTGTATTCTCATTGTAAGTAGTATAAAATAAATCAGAATTGGTATTAATTTTAATTGGTTTACTTTTATTTTGGGGATCTACAACATCAGTAATATAGTTATAATCACCTAAAAATATCAGATTACCTCTTAAAGTGTTATCAGTAGTATTTTGATAAGTGATATGAACACGATTGTTGTAGTTCGAGGATGCAGGCCCGGAAAGACGGTGCAGATGTCAGAGTCGGAGGTGAGGGGCCTCTGCACCAAGTCCAGGGAGATATTCCTGCAGCAGCCAATACTACTGGAACTGGAGGCACCGCTCAAAATTTGTGGTATGCTATACACATTTATTTATAATTATTATTTTAATAAGATACATACAACTTATTAGAAAACATAAAACTAATTGGAAATTTTAATCTGCAAAATTAACTCTTCAAACTGTCTTGAAGGCCGAACAAAAACTTGCCTTTTATTCATTCATTCTTGCCCTATAGTATTGTTTCATTGTTACTTTAATGATACCATTCAAAATATAATTGGCTTTTATAGCTACAAGGCTTTGTTTGATGTGCATTAATTACGACTAAACCTTATGAAGTCTCATCTTAATTTTCGTTTTTTATCACAATATTTTGTGTTCTGATCTTAAAATCGTAATATTTATCATCATAATTGTAGTACAAATGCGTGTAAAAGCTAATTATAATGTAATTGTCGCTCTCCATGCTTATTTTCATCTAAAATACTTGCACTTCATAAATTGAATTACGTGTAATGTTCATCATGCTACTGTCGCATAATACCCTATTGTTCTACCATTGACTATTTGTACTTGCAGGTGATATTCACGGTCAGTACACGGATTTATTACGCCTGTTCGAATACGGCGGGTTCCCGCCAGAAGCTAACTACCTATTCCTGGGAGACTATGTGGACCGTGGCAAACAATCTCTTGAGACTATTTGTCTATTGCTTGCATACAAAATAAAGTACCCAGAAAACTTCTTTCTCCTCCGAGGCAATCACGAGTGTGCTAGCATAAATCGCATCTATGGTAAGAAAACACTTCATAATTTTTATACAATCAGATTTACATTTTAGTTCTCTTCTATCAACTTCTTGCAGCTCAAAACTGAATGAATTCATAGAATCAAAATCAATTATTTTCTAATGGAGGGCATTTATTTCCTCTTCATACTTTAGATTTTGTTTTTCCCTCCTCAATTTGTCATATTTTAATTTGAACAGGTTTCTATGACGAGTGTAAACGCCGATACAACATAAAACTGTGGAAGACTTTCACGGACTGCTTCAACTGCTTGCCTATTGCCGCCATCATCGATGAGAAGATATTCTGCTGTCACGGCGGCCTCTCGCCAGACTTGCAGGGCATGGAGCAAATTAGACGGATAATGAGACCTACTGACGTGCCTGATACAGGTATAATATAATCAACTTTTTTGTTAATTCATTATGAAAGATAAGATAGTATCAGTAAATTCATTCATTCTTCAGATTCTAGGAAACCTGATGAATCTGTTTAAACTAAGCCAGAGTCATATGCCAACTATACTTGTAACTGTAAAATAAAAATAACAATGCCATGACCAATTGGCGATTTAATAGGATACGCGCTAAGACAATTAAATGAGTCACAGTAGTTGCTTTACCCTGACGACAGATAAAAATAACCTTGGTGAATAATATACATTATTTATTACATAGCTCAAACCTGGGCTCACATATCCTAGGCTCTGATGAAATCTCTTAAAAATCAAACACAATAACATTGAAACACCTTAATGTGACTAAAAGTCCATTGTTCTGGTGCTGCTCAATACATAACATATAAAATATGATTTCAGGCTTACTTTGCGACCTGCTTTGGTCAGATCCGGACAAAGACGTACAAGGATGGGGGGAGAATGACCGCGGTGTGTCCTTCACCTTCGGCCCAGACGTCGTCAGCAAGTTCTTAAACAGACATGATTTAGATTTGATTTGTCGCGCCCATCAGGTAAACCTTTGTTACTCTTACTTGGTATTGTGTAGACCAGATTTATATACCTACTTGTGTCCCAATTGTCATGAATTGGACATACTATAGTCATTCACTTCCGTGAGGTACCTACCAGCATAGCAAATCGTAATCAATTTACATTACACCTACATCACAAAAGTATTGTGGCTATTAATAGGCCACAGATGACAACTTGGCTCCATGACGCCAAATGCAATTTTAAAGTGTGTAAAGAAAGAACCCATAATAATCCTGCTATATTTGTTTCATGGTTTATTCATATTGTTTATTTTTTTTTTTTTTTTTATTGTAGGTGGTGGAAGATGGCTATGAATTCTTCGCGAAGCGACAACTGGTGACATTATTCTCTGCACCCAATTACTGTGGAGAATTTGACAACGCCGGCGGAATGATGTCCGTTGACGAGACACTAATGTGTTCGTTCCAGGTAAATATTTATTGTCAGCAATAGTAATAAATCTATTGGAAAATAATTAACATCTGCTTCTTATTCATCTTTTTTATTTCTTTTAGATATTAAAGCCATCAGAAAAAAAGGCCAAATACCAATATAACGGCATCAACAGCGGGAGGCCAGCCACACCTCAGCGGTCACCACCAAAAAAGAAATAACTGACATTTGGGATCCAGTGTGCTGCACAGTGAGAGGAATGCTACAAATAATTAATTATATCATGTATTATAATTATTATGTTAGTGTAGTCATTGGACAGAGCCGAATAAGTCGCATATTGTTAAAATTATTTATCAACTTGCTTGTGCCTTCTTATTTTTAATTTTGAATTAATGTGAGTGATATTAATTTATGAATTTAGTTCTACAGAGATGTTGTGGATATTGATCGGACATGAACTATTCGGCAGTGCCTCGGTGACTATTGCTTTTTCGATCCCTGATATTATATTGCAGCCTTAGACCTTAGATCAGTATAATATACCTGTTGTGTTATTGTAACATGTTGATGTTCTAGTAAATTGTTTTGTTGACTTTGAAGAGTTTGAGGTGGTAAGCGATCTTAAAGATGCGGGCATTGGACACGAAGCGTCGTTACATTTCATATTACTACTTAATAAGTTGTAGTGGATCGAAAGCACATTCGCTTTGTTTATTCTGTAACTAATGTGCCTATAAATGTAAAGTATATATAGGTCTCGTATAAGTAACGTAAATCGGATTTTGATTTGTTTGGAAATTTTAGTTTTTTATTATTAGTGAAAATTTGTTAACTAAACTTCGTCCATCCAATAACCTTTATTTACGTTACGTATTTTTAGTGCTCTTATGTTTATTTATTTTCTAAAGACAAATTAATCCTGTCATGGAGCTGGCCTAAGTCATGATATTAACCTTCACTTGTTTGTATCTTTCACAAGTCTCCATAACGAAAATGAATGTTAAGGAAATGAAGTATTCCCAGTGAAATTAAATGTTAATTTGCACTCAGTATTATTCCTTAAAATGCTAAGTAGACATAATAAAGTCTAGAATTGGTGTGATCTCCATTGAGGCTATCTCCTCAGTCTGCAGTTGCAAGTCTCGGAATGAATTCATAATTTTAATTAATGGTGGTAGTAACAGTGTAGTCCTCGCAACAATAGTGCAATTGCTATATTATGATTATAATAAAAAATTATATGCAGGTTATGCATTGTACAATTTTATTTTTTAGCTATGTTAACGACGTCAAATGATTTTCATTAATAAATATTACTATTTAAACTAAGAGGTTTATTTTTGTTTCATTTTGGTTTGCATTTACAATTATAATTGTAACTTTGCTATTGTATAATTTATTAACTAATGTACTTTGCTAATAGGATATCATTTTCATCTATTAAAGTTTTTTCATCTTTCTTAATGCTTTATCAATTTTAATATTTATGGAGAATATGTTGCTACTAAATCTAAATATCTTTGCTCTCTGTATGTACAATTCAAATGTATAGCAGTCATTAGGTAGCTGGTAAAAAGAATGCAGCAAAATTAGATTTTTATGTGCTTTATTATCACTTGATAAACTTTATTCTATTTTCATCTACACTAGTAAAGATAACTTTCACAGAATATTGAGTTAAAATATAATTAAATTATAATAAATTTCGTTGTACTTTTTCTCAGGTGTGTACAATTTTCTGAAATATAAATTTTATTCAAATAATCTTGCAGTGCATTATCAATTCTCAATTTCTAAATCTTTTTCTATCCAATTCATCTCGCCAACATCTTGTTTAATTGGTAGCATGATTTTGGTTAAATTGTGATGATTTTCGATTTTTTCATTGATTTTCATGATAAAATCTTCATTCTTCTTTTGATATTTCTGTATGTCTAGTTGGAGAGCCTTGAGGTATCCTCTCTTGGCAGACACTATTTTCTTGAGTCTATTTGCCCTGCTTTCATACTCTTTAGCCAATGACTCCAGTAGGGCTCTCTGTTTTTGCAAGTTACCTACATCACTTGCTTTTAGTTGTGCCTTGACATCTCCCAGTTGTGGCCTCCTGTGAATTCAAATGGCATGTTGTGTAAATAGAAACTAATTTCTTTACCTCATGATAGAACTCATAAAATTGGAAAATAACCCAACCCTATGACCGAATGAAATTAGTTATGGATGTGCAGAATGATTATTATAAACCTACTTTTGACTTTCCCGACCAACACATGGTGCTCTAGTCTGACTTAATCAAACCTCATTAAAATATTGAGCCCACATAGTCATTGACGGGCTAGGAATATTTACAAAAATACGGTATGAATCTTTGAATGTAATGCCACATGCCTACCATAAAGTTTTGTCGGTATTAGTGTCTGCATATTTTTCCTTTTGCTTTTCTAGGGTCTCGATTTTCTCTTGCATATTTTCATACTGCCACATAGCACTCAATTCCTGTATCATTTCATCCAAAATACCCTGCTTCAAACAATTAAACATAGGAACCCATTTAACTCTTTTTAGCTTAGCTTTGGGAACAGTTTCAAGGAAATCTTCATTTCTGGAAGAGATTTAATTTTCATTGTTATTGAGAAAATAGAAATGCGACAGGCAGTTTCAGGGAAATAAATATAAATAATACATACTTTACGAGGTTTGCAATGTTACTGAACTCCTTCAAAATAGTAAGATTATCGAAAGCAAGTTCAGAGTTGTTCATCTCTACATCACTCGCTTGGTCTTCCATTTGTTCGCCCATTTTGTTAATTAAGGGCGTATTTAATTAATGTAAATTATCGTGTGTGTGTTTCAATCACTGCTTAAATAATTCTGTTTCTGCTATTTCTTTTAAAAAATAAATAAACAAACCACTTTCGTAACGTTAAATTTCAAAGTGGCGTTCAAAGATCACAGACAAAAATTAAAACGTCAATAAACTTTTTAAATTTTGTTTCACGGCCTTGGGCACGCGGCGGCGGTAGTCCTGCAAAACAAGAAAAATTATCTGCGGTCCAACTAGGGATTTTATGATGTTTCATCTTATTTTTCTTTTTTGATGCTGGCAATACACGACGAGGCCGACTTGATTTGTGCCATTTTCGAGTTTCAAGTGAGACGAGTTTTAAAATAATATGTAGGACAAAGTGGGATGGAACTTGGGTTAATTAAATGATAAAATGAAGGATGATAGATGATACCCCTTCCCTCCCTTTGAGTCTCAGTAAAGTAGTGGTGCTTTACTGAGACTTCATAAATGGATTACTTGAGAGAATCCAAAGAATCACGCTGCACAGTTTTATTTCATTTGCCTACACTCATGCACGTTCACGAACACTTAATGGTTAATAATTATCCACCATTCTTACACATTAATAGTCGTCTAAACAATAATTTTAGAAAATAAAACTAAACCGATAACGTAACGCTTCACATTCCCGCCAAGAAGTCGATGTTTCATTTTGTTATCGACTCCAAAAGGAGGGAATTTGTGGAGATTCCTTAGCCATATTCTGTTTTCACAGACTACTTACTGGTTATATTATCTTAATTAAATGAGTCATTCAAACTATTAAAAGGTCGGCAAGCTTGTTTTAATATGAATATTGGACTCAGTAAATACTTCCAGCAGACAGAATAAAAGCAGCGTATCGTCAAGTTATGGTAAATAGTTATTAAATTGGTTTAAGGATTAGGGTTCTCCTACGGATCTCCTCATTTCTAATTCGATCACGCAGGGAAACTCCGAGCATAGCACGCTTCATCGCCCTTTGGGTGACCTTGAGCCTTCTTATGACTGACCAGTGGCGTAGCTTGGGGGGGGCAGGGGGGGCCATGGCCCCGGGCGGCATATGAAAGGGGGCGGCGGATAAGAAAAAAAACATTGCATGAACAAGAAAAAAAAAGGTCGACTATGTCTACGTTGAGACTAACAAATCTAGCTATACTGGCAATTGAAAATGAGATACAATTTGATATCGACGATTGTGTAAAAGATTTTGCTTTGAAAAAAGCACGAAGAGTAAATTTTTAATCTATTTTTTTAAGTAATAGTAACAAAAATATTTAAGGAGCTTACTTACTTACCCATCTAAAACTTGCGCCACAGATAATCTTTCGTGATTTCTCTTGTTACAAACCGAAATAAAAAAGTGGTTTGTAAATAGTTAAAGCCATATCTAAGCTACTTTTAAAACCGTGTATTTATTATATTCTGCAAATTCTAAATTCAAAATGAGCTAGCTAAAATGGTAACTTTTAGCAGTAATTAAATCTGTAACTTGCTGCAAATATGTAATGAATTCAAACAAATTATTTAAAAAAATAGCTTCGATACATTTATAAATTTTTCAAACCACTTTTTTAATTTCAGACGGGTCGCGAACTTGTAAAAAAAAAATGTTAATCCGGCATGCTCGAGCGCGATTTATTTTTATTTTGACTACTTTATATGCCTACCCCCACCACGCAAACCGGCAGATTAGTATATACCGTTGTTATCAGAGGCACTCGGGGCATACGTAGTATGAATATCTGACGCGCTCGAGAATGCCCAAGTAACTGTTTTTTTTAACATTTTTGAAAAACCGTACACGCCTAACCCACCGCTAAAATGGTTTTTGCCATACGAGCTTTTCTTTTCGAAATTATTTTATCTTTCGATTTTGATAGGTCTCGACGGCGCCGTTGAATTACGCCATTTAGCTACCTCGCCTCCCTAACTATAATAAAGCTGAGCTATTTAAGAAAATCAAACTTCCTGTGGGTTTCAAGCAATTGCTTCTCTTTAATGTATTTTCCTTTTGAAGCAGTGCGTGGTAGTTTATTTTGACTTTCAACAAATAAGGTGAATAGTGTACCTGAAGTCCATTCAATATAATATTTAAACTTTTAAATATTTATAATTAAAATAAAGGGCGGCGGATTTCCAGACGGCCCCGGGCGGCGAAAAGCCACGCTACGCCACTGTGACTGACTGACTGACTGAGTGACTGACATAGCCCGCAGAATCACTAAAATCAAGTGGCAGTGGGCAGGACACATAGCTCGTAGAGCTGACGGCCGCTGGGGCAGGAAAGTTCTTGAGTGGCGACCACGAGCCGGAAGACGTAGCGTAGGCAGGCCTCCCACTAGGTGGACCGACGATCTGGTGAAGGTCGCAGGAGGCGACTGGATGCGAGCGGCGCAGGACCGGTCTTTGGGGTTTAAATCCTTGGGGGAGGCCTTTGTCCAGCAGTGGACGTCTTTCGGAAACGAACGATCGAACGAACGAAGGATTTGGGGTGTGGTGTGTTACCCGTCCTTTTCTTTTTTCTTTAAATTTGTCATTTTATTTTCATTTCAATTAGGTAGGTAGGTACTTACTTACCTATAGCAAAACCTAGATGTTCTCGTGTGGTGACCGAAAAACTCGTGTTAGTATCATATTGTGAAGGTCGCAAGCGCCTAGAGTTAGACAGAGTAACTCACAGAACAGGATAAGTTTTTTGAAATCTTTTGGTTGAAACGAATGGACAGCAAAGAAAAACACCCTTCTGAACGTGACACTCTTTGTTATTTCTTTTATAAAGCAGAACATTACCTAACGTAGATAGGTAGGTATGTAATAGTAGACGTAGAAAACGAAGAAAAATAGAGATCCCTAAGTATATTAATTACCCCATCGTCCCGTATTTTTATCCTCTTAAATTACTAGGAGCTAGAAATTGAACGATCAGAGAAAACTATAACGGTTAAGATCAGTTAGTAGAGTAATAGTAATTTAACTCATGTACCTACTTATTATAAAATTNCGGCGAAAAGCCACGCTACGCCACTGTGACTGACTGACTGACTGAGTGACTGACATAGCCCGCAGAATCACTAAAATCAAGTGGCAGTGGGCAGGACACATAGCTCGTAGAGCTGACGGCCGCTGGGGCAGGAAAGTTCTTGAGTGGCGACCACGAGCCGGAAGACGTAGCGTAGGCAGGCCTCCCACTAGGTGGACCGACGATCTGGTGAAGGTCGCAGGAGGCGACTGGATGCGAGCGGCGCAGGACCGGTCTTTGGGGTTTAAATCCTTGGGGGAGGCCTTTGTCCAGCAGTGGACGTCTTTCGGAAACGAACGATCGAACGAACGAAGGATTTGGGGTGTGGTGTGTTACCCGTCCTTTTCTTTTTTCTTTAAATTTGTCATTTTATTTTCATTTCAATTAGGTAGGTAGGTACTTACTTACCTATAGCAAAACCTAGATGTTCTCGTGTGGTGACCGAAAAACTCGTGTTAGTATCATATTGTGAAGGTCGCAAGCGCCTAGAGTTAGACAGAGTAACTCACAGAACAGGATAAGTTTTTTGAAATCTTTTGGTTGAAACGAATGGACAGCAAAGAAAAACACCCTTCTGAACGTGACACTCTTTGTTATTTCTTTTATAAAGCAGAACATTACCTAACGTAGATAGGTAGGTATGTAATAGTAGACGTAGAAAACGAAGAAAAATAGAGATCCCTAAGTATATTAATTACCCCATCGTCCCGTATTTTTATCCTCTTAAATTACTAGGAGCTAGAAATTGAACGATCAGAGAAAACTATAACGGTTAAGATCAGTTAGTAGAGTAATAGTAATTTAACTCATGTACCTACTTATTATAAAATTTCATAATTAATAAAAAATCCTTAGAAGAAAATATTAAAAGTGACTTTACTTAGATTAAGTACCTAATTGCTTGATTCTGAAATTATATTTTGTTAACGACGGACAACTACGGAACCCTACACTGCGCGTGGCACGAGTAGGTACGATACTGACGATACGCACTTGGCTAATTATAAGCTTTTATTTACTTTCACATGTCTGGTGTCGGCAAATCTTAAATTTTTATATTCTATTTTTAAAAGCAACAAACGAATTTTATTAAATTATTTTCATTCAAATGAACAGTTGAATCACAGGTTGAACGTAGACCAGCGGTTCCCAAACTTATTTAGTCTACTGCCCAGTTTGAGAATAAATTATTTTTAGCGCCCCCCATTTTCAACCGACTTCAAAAAAGGAGGAGGTTCTCAATTCGACCCGTATGTTTTTTTTTCTATGTTTGTTACGCGATAACTCCGCCAATTATAAACCGATTTGAACAAATCTTTTTTCGGCGTATAGGTAATACCTCAAGGGTGGTCCCATTTAAATTTAATAATAGAAAAAACAACCCCCAAGGGTGGAAAATTTGGGATGAACTTTTTTATACGCAATATCTCCGCCGATTATAAATCAATTTGAACGATTATTTTTTTTGTTGAATATGTATTATCCAAAGGGTGGTTTCATGCGAATTTGAAGAAAATATTTCACCCCCAAGGGTGGAAAATTGGGGATGAACTTTTTTATACGCAATATTTTTAATTTTTAGTTTTTTTTTGTGTTCACGCATTTGAAGTTGGTTTTTTTTTTTAAAGTTAATTATTGTAGTCAAGAGTCGAGCTCAGTCGGTGTCTAAGAGTCCTCCTAGTAAATGACGCCTCCCAAGCCTCTAGACAACGTCCCGATTTTTTTTTCTGGGTCTCTTACCGCCCCCCTTTAAGCCTGCAGCGCCCACAAGGGGGCGTTATCGCCCACTTTGGGAAAGACTGACGTAGACGAACAGCAAGAAAGTAAATATTGTCGCCGAGCGTACAGATGGCGTTAGCAGCTGTGACTACGCGACTACGGCGTAGTCTTTCTAGGGACGGCATTTATTTTAACAATTTTAACGTGAAAAATGAAAAATTACTTGACTACGATCGATCGTAGACGTTGTAGCGCCACGTAGACATTCTACCAACTTACTTCTCGAAGAAATAGCCCATTATGAATGAAACGCAAGAGATACATAATTTTGTCTCAGTGCCTAACTAACTATATAGGTATTTTAAAGACCAATTAATTACATTGTAATACTTGGTAACTATTGTAATACAACTGTTGTTGTAGTCTCTAACTACTGTTATATGAAAATGTATAATAAAGAAAAGATTAATATATTCTCGTAGTACATAATAGTATAGGTACTTACACCTATGATAATAGCGTTTGCACTTTTCATAGCCGCATTATAGACCATTCGTAGCATTCTTAGGCAACGGCAGATGGTATTTAAATAAAATAGAACACGTGGTTTTCTGATTTTATTGATTTTTTTCTTTTTTGGAATACATAAAAATGTTTTAATATAAACAAAATTTGTAACAAGTATTCATTTCCGCGGCAGTGACTATGTTATTGCAGTCTTTAGAGATCTTCGGTGAAAACCTTTTTAATAATGTCCATTATTAACTGTTTCTTTATTTAATCATCCTTTATTAACATAGTCAAAGTTAACAGACGAATGTTTATAAAATAATAAATTAGGTAGAAAGATGTTCATTACTTAAAATAAAATGAGTTCGAAGTCAGGCCCTTAAAAAGCAGCAGCTGAAAAGAAAAATAAAGCATTAGATGAAGAAGCACAAACTACGGTCTGCAACTACCTGATGGAAAGACAGACAATATTTAATTTATGATTTTAACTGAAGTTCATCATAAAATATTATTCTTCAAATTACAACATCTGAAGGAAATTAAATGAAGTAATCTTTAGTAAATAAATATGCGCAATGAATTAATGTTATTTATATTATTTGGATATACTCGTAGTTTGAATTATTCATATTATGCTCCGCTTAATTTACATACTCCATAAAATCATAGAAGTGTAGGTAATGTATTCAATTCCTTTTTTTCGTATACTAGATCTCCGACCGGAAAAACTTAGAAAATAGTGCAATAGATAAATCAATATCGAGGTAAAAATAAATACTATAACTATAATCCTTAATTTTTATCACCTCATTAGATTACTTTTGTAAAGCCATTTTTATTAAATAACTTTCTTCTTATAAGTTAAATAATAAAATGGATAATAGTAACGTGTCGAAAATCAATAAAAAGTTGGTAATAGAATAAGTTAAAAATTATTTTCATTAGTTGTGAATTCATAATGGTTTGTGCTTATGTAGAGGTTGCATCATGGGTCAGTGTATGAGTAAATTACTTATGTAAAAATTAATAATATTTTCATTCATGAATTTATGTCAATATTGGTAATGAGTCGTCTCCATTCCGTGAATTCCGTGCTTAATTAAGTAATGTGGTGTTTAGGAGTATTATTTTAATGCAAAGATGACGATATGAACCTCCTAAATTTTTCTATAAAGTGTAGAAATGCTATTTCTATTAATGGCTATTTCTAAGATTTTGAAAAAGGTTTCAAACATTCTTTAACACTAAAAGTAGATGCATTGAGATAATAAAATACGATACTTGAAATGAGGATGTGGTGCCATGAATTAGGCTGTTGTCACATGGATCGACATTAACAAATTAAACTACAAACATATTTTCAGCCAAACGACGGCAATTCCATTCATCCTGTGACAACAACCGTATTTAACTCTACAAAATGCATAGGATATGTGCTGATATCAAAAGGGACTCTATCTACGTGAGGAACGTAGAGTCGGTACCTGGATATTTGCATTTTATAGACTACGCATGAACGGTAAAGTCTTGCTTAGGTCATCCACGGTGAGCGCGTCAGCCACCATTAAATCTGCCGTAATTAGAACATCATTATCATATCACATATTATCCACAAGTAACTGTTAGAGCTTTCTGTTAATTGAAATCGTGATCGGATTGCAAGCTCATTGTACAGCTCGTGAATAAAGCCGTAGTGATAGTTGGCATAATATACAGCGCCGACTAACCTAGAGGTCTGATCGGGTGCTTGTCCCAAAGGAAGGTGCGTTTGACTGGCGACAGGTAGGAGTCGCGGATGTAAGAGGGGCTGCGGTCCCATCGCGCGAGGGGCTTGAGCTCCGGCCAGTCGTACCAGAAGGGGTCCCGAGTGATGGCCGAGATCGGCAGGGACGGGCTCGGGTTGAAAATGTCGGCCCAAGGCCTGCGCCTGAGCCCGCCGGCGGTGTACAGCGGAGCACCTGCCACAACTGCTAGTTAGAACGCGGTCAACAGACACAAATGCCTCTCTGGTCTTCGTCATCGCCCGAACAAAGGGAAGCGAAAAGCGATCGGCATGGCGTTGTACAACAAGTATGAAAGCGCAACGAACAATACCAGTTAGGCTCTAGTTTTGATTTTATTTAAGAGCACACTCAAAATTAGGTACTCTCTATAATCTTCAAAACAAATTATTCAGCACCTCTAAACAAAGTTACATTCGTGATAGATTCAACTTCGTGATCGCTTCGTTTCGACTTCTTTTTGTCCTGTAATTGCTTCTCTCCGCGAACCGACCTCGCAATTGATTCTTTCACAAACCGCTACTTTGTCTTGAAGGAAAGGCTAATAAAAACTTCATTTTTCAGTAATAAAATCAAAACTATTCAGCGAAAGCACACATGTTTTAATCAAATTGATATTTTAATCATAAATGTACAAATTTATATGAAAAGACTTTTCATTTTATTCAAATAAGTATTTATAGTGTTAAAATTCACCAAGCAAGCAATGCACATGCGGTTTTATGCAGTCTATGATAAAGAACACGTACACTCGTTGAGTACAGAACAGAACAATATTTTTGTTAAACTAACTAGAAGTGAGGTGTAGTGAATGAAGATGTCAGGTTCTTATTCACGCCAGGAAAAGCTATTCCCAAATAGACTTTACAGAAATCACAGAACTAGCTACAAATAATATTATTGTCAAGTGAACTCTGCACACTGTGAGAAGACAGAACTAAACGGGTACTTTGTTTATGGGTTGGTAACAAGATATAGTGGCAATTTATATAGCACCAGGAGAACAGAGGGTCGAGACGAAGATAGAGGGAAGGGGTCTGTTGCCCTTACCGTCGGCATCAAACGCCACCTCGCAGTCGCGAGGTTGGCTTATTCTCGGCTTCACTGGAGTTGGGGACTTCCCTCGGAGTGAGCGGTCAAAATCTGACCATCTTTCGGCTTCCGCGAAAAATGGGTCGGTTTTGAACACGTCCGATATCTTCGATGGCCACGCTCCTTCATTACAAGTCTCATATTCAGTACCAAGCTCAAAATTAAACAACAGGGGACCCTCAAGCGTAACCTTTTCAATATTGACACGACTCTACTTGTGTGTGGAATGGAGTGTAGTGTTCTTGGGCGTTGATGGTAACGTCGAGTGCGTTTGCAGTTAATGCTGCTTGCATAGTATGTACAATGCATGTCATGCATTTTGCATTACATATCGTAATAATAAAATCAACACCTCATCATCATCGTAATCATAATTTCAATGTAACATTATAGCGGACACATAATTTATTTATAAATAAATGAATTAGAGAGGTTCTACTCTACTAAATCAAAACACCGATTGGACTTTTATGTTTGTTTTAATATAAAAAATACGTAAGTTATGTTAGTTCAGTGTAAAAGTTTGTACTATCAAGTATTATTATGGAGTATGTAATAGTGTATAAAATACCAATATAAAACATTATACAATCTTATGGCGATGCTACTCTATTTTCAGATATGTTTCTGGGTTGTTTACAATGATAATAAATTAATGACTAGTTTTAATTATGCCAAATATATTAACTTAAAGTACGTTATGTACACACATAACAAATAATTTTGAATTTTGACAATAAATATATTACAAGGTCTTTACAGTATTTAATAATTACATGATCTTATAATATACAAAATAGATTCCAATGTAGTTATGTGAATTTAAATGTAATTACTTGACTTAAAAGATGGTAGACTATTCAAAAATTTGGATTTTCATACCACACAAATCAGGTTCATTTTAGTATGAACCTGACAGGTAAATGATATCCTGAATTTCAGGTTCCATGTTATATGCATCTTCTGGAATGTTCTGATACGAATTTTTACAATTAAACAAGTCAAATTATACAGAATCAGAATTTCTCCATAGCCAACTGATAACATGGACCACTTAAATGCTGAGATTCACCGTTTCGTGAGTTACAAAACAAGCGGTCTAGCTGAGACACCGCAGGAGACCTCGCGGCTTGCCCGTAGCAGACGAACTGGCCAACCGCAGCACTGCTTAAAGGTAACTTACACTAGTATCGTGCATGTGGACGTGTTAGTATTTACCTGTTCCCCAGTGCGGCTTGTTGTCGGGCTCATATTCGATGCCTTTTAGGCTCTTGGGTTCGGTGATGGGTGCGCTCAGGTCGGTGATGGGGTAGGCCCTGTCCTTCAGGTAGAGGCCGTAGCGAGAGGGGTACAGGCGGTCGATGGCGGCCAGCCTGTCCAGGTGGTCCTGCCACGCCTTGTGCGCGTCGAAGGGGTCCACGCCACGTCGCACGCGCCTGGGCACGTGGTATACTGCACGAAAACAATCCAAAGTCACAAAGCGTCACAGACACGAGAACGCACGATTCGTCCACTGAATCATTGCAAGGACAATCACAAAAAGATCGACAGTTTCATATTCTTTCTCCTTTCTGTAGGAATTTTACTGAAATTGGTCAATAGAAATATTTGGTGGGCCTTTTCAAAAGGAATTAGTACAAACACGGAAATAATTCTGATATTGTGATGTTAGTAGTGGATTAGGAGAGCAGAGCAAAAGCTTTATTCAAAATGAAATGAAATTAGAGACAGTATAAATACAGCGCATTATAGAACTCACCTCGTCATTAATATCCCGGAAAGGCTTGACAAAATATTATAAACGTAAGTTAAGGCTTCATTATGAATTGAATATTAAAGGGGAATAAAATAAATAACAATAACGTGTCACCTGACAGATGCTAGAAGATTGGTTTATATTACAGTGAAGTCGACGTAACATCCATGGAATATACAGTGTGATGGCCTGATATATCAGAGGTGACTTCTATCGAATGATCATGCGATTATTGGCGATGATTACAAGTGAAATAAGTCGAACTTGCGCAAGCAACAACATTGAAACTAATAGATTTACTGTAACAAATAAATATTTCTACGTCCTAAGTCAAAGCAATAATTATGGTATAATATGAACTCAACGAACTGAAGTTGTGATCACGAATACGTAAAATAACAGAAAAAATATAATGAAAATCTTAATAATACACAAATAACATTACATACAATACGACGAAATGTTTTCCGAGATTAAAAACATCGTAGAGTCGATATTTTAATGTGTTTATGAGCGTCACTCCATGTAATGTTAGATCGATTGATCCTTGCTACATCTCCGAGCTTATGACAGGCTACACGACAACAAAAGCTTTCGAAGTATTTATTTATATTAAAAAATCTTTAATACAAAGTAATATAATACAAGAACAGTCATATAGATTTGATGTTGACTATGGTATATTTTACAAGATGTTCATTTTCCTACTGTGATTGTGAATGAAAGATGTTTTGCCATATTGCAGATACAGAAATTAAGCGATTTGCAGAAAAGTTGCAAAAAATGCAACAATATAATTGCATCGTTTTTAGTAGGTAAGGTATTTTTAAATTCGTTTATTTTTTAGACTGCCCCCCGGCCTTTTCTGCTGAAACAATTGAAAACTAATACAGTCTATTAAGGTTACTAACAAACCTAGCAGTACTTTGACACCTGAGACAATTTAGTAACATAGCGGTAAAGCATTAATTTATATCATTAAATGTTAACAAGTTTGTGTGTATTATACAATGTAGCGGTGATGTTTTAAATATCTACAAATGGTTAGGATATAAGTGTAAGTGTGCCTATCCGTTATACAAGGCAATTTATAAGCTGCAACTGTAAATTATTGTAAGTAAACAAAGAAACAAGTCGTTGTGTGCCAGATGATGTCTGTGAGGTGCTCTTGTCAATCAAAGTAAAGGTGCACTCGCGATCTTTCAACGCCTCGATCTAATTCTGTTTGGACAAGACAGACACTATTGTTCGATCTCCTGTCAGATTAGATTAAAAGTTTGTAGCTGTAGATAAAGTTGCTACGAGTAAATGTTGACGATTAACATCATATTTAATTAATTAGCAAACTAGGTCTAGCAATCAGACACGTTTCATTGCTCAATATCTAGTTCACATCTTCATCTTCGTCTCTTTACTTGCTAACTAGCTTGAGAGCTCAAGCTCTTTCAGTAGGGATAAACTAAATCAATGCTAAACGATCCCGTTGAGATCACTATTCTAAAGAAACTTAGGGTCGTCCAATTTGTGATTGACAAGAGCAAGCGTGTGTGTTTGTGTGAGTATCGCTGGCTTACAAACCTGGCCGGTACCGGTCGAGGGAGCGCGAGTAGTTGTGAGCGTAGATGGGGCGTGGGGAGTAGCCGTAGACCTCGCGGTGGACGGGCAGGTAGCGGTAGCCGGGGACGGTGATCCTCTCGGCCGCGGCGATGGGGTCGTCGTAGATCGACTTGCTGTAGGGGTAGGAGGAGGACAGGAGTTCGGGGAACACGCTGCGGCGCGTGGGCCTGTATCTCTCCTCGGCCCTGATGTCTTCAGATCCTGTGAAGCGTTGGGGGTTTGGTGAGGTAGAGTTTATGCCTATTCGTATCGATTTAGAGTTTCATTTATTTCATGGGACATTTTTTGATTGCAACCAGAAAGTTCAAGTTAAATTAATTTCCGAATTCTGAATATCTTACCTTTTAGAGATCGCACGAAAGATTGCCAGAATCTGGCTTTCTTTGATGGCGTCTCGTTTCTGCCAATCATTTCTAAATGACTTTTAAACATTTTGGCGGTTTATGTCGAGCTCGTGTTCTGTAACAAAATTATAATCGTTGTAGCTCTATCTACTTATCAACATAATCAAAAAGGCATCAAAGACTTTGTAGCATCTAAGGAAAGTGCCGGCAGCGCGTAATGTTTTGGATCTGTCGTTGGTAACCTTGAATACGGGAGTATTTGCGTACAAAAAGTATGTCCAGGTGACATAATTGAGTACAATAGCGTGCGCGTCCCTCGTAAATAGAGCAATGACGTATGCAGCGTTAGCAGCAGCCCACAAATAGCCGCCTCGGTGGCTGCGTCGTGTCGAATGGCCCGTGATCTTGGCGCTGCGCCAGCGCCGCTGTCCGACAGAAACTTGAAAACGCCCGTTTTTACGAATGTCTGCTCACCGCTCAGCTATTTTCGATTTACACGCGACCTTGTTGCGAGTTTCACCGTGGATAAGTCAGCGGCCTGCCGCAATTTCTAATTACGTAAGGTCTCAAGTATGCGAAGACAAACTAATGAGGGTTTACGACTCGGCCTCGCGTTATTTCAGGAGTTTCGACACGAGAACTTAAAAGTTTCCTATCGTTTGCTGAAAGTTTTATAGGGGTTGTGATTCGAGGTACTCCAATTATATAGCAGTTTAGAGTTGGAGCTGGTGTGGTGGTTAGGATGTCGTGATTTAGTTATCGAAACTTTAACTTGTAAAACATACAGCGCTGTTGAAGCAAGATTCACGTACCTATCTATTTTCGCGTTTTCAGGACTTATGATGTAAACTATACTAATGGTAAACTTACACCCACGCTGATTTTTCTAGAGTGATGTAATATTTCCGTTGTGAGTTAAATGCTGGGTTGTATAATGTTTATTGGTGTCTGATGTGCGTCAGAGGCGTCAGCCGTATTTCGAGGGCTATTCGTCAGGTTCGAGTTGAGCCTGACGAGATATGCGCGCGCAACTCGCATGCACTCTAGATCGCCGGAATGCTCGGTGATTCATGCAGTTATGAAATTAATAATCGTTTAGATTAAACATATTTGTTTCAGGTGGTCAACATTTCAGTTTGGAATTTAAAAAAAGAGATTCGTAATAAATTATACAATAACAATAATAATATGTTGTTATTGTAATATGTTGTTATTGTTGATGTCTTCGAATCGAAATGTTAACATATTTCTTTCAATGAGGAAATTCGAAAATCAATAAATATTAAATCCATTTTACAACTGCAAAACTAATAATGGTTTAATAAATGCTGAAATTTTATTTTTATGGACTGAAAACTAACTTTCAGTTTGTTTTGACTATCTTGACTTGATCGAATCTAAATCAAGATATTATACTCGTGTGTATACCAAATCATTTTAATTTATTAACAGTTGGTGTTAAATGTATCATTTAATAAGACTTGCTTCCAACACCTAATGAATTTAAGATTGATGTTCATAAACACTAACGACCACCGGGCCAAACAACATTATCAATAAATCTGCTATGAGCCGACAGTTTCCGATGTGTATGATTTTTATCATCACTTAATTCGGGTCAAGATCGAAGGCCAATGTCAAATATGTTTTGCCATATATCCTTCTGCACTCTATAATAACCTGGTCATCTATTTTGGCGTTAGAAACGGTGTGAAAAAAGGTTGTGCTATTGAGAAACTGTTACAAAAATACGTAGGCGCGTCGATTTGGCGGGATTGCAAATTTGGCGCGGGACGTGTGGACTAAAATAGCGCGCGGCTGCTCGGATCGAATTCACAGCATTCCCAGTATTGTCGTCCTGGGGCACGAGGATGCACTCTCGGTGTCTCAGGCATAAGCCATGCTTCGTAGGTAGGGTGGAACATGCTAGACCTAGGACACACTGTGACAAGGGAACGGAATATCAGATGATTACACACACGACTCATGCCACTTTTTGTAATGTAGTTAGTTTTACTCAATGTCACAACAAGAGATTTTAAATTAAGGCTTACTGATTAATTGTCACAATCTAAATAGATTATAAATAAATATTTAAAAAAAAGTGATAGTTAATTGATGAAGATGCAGTATGTCCTGAAACTGCAATCTTATGTCCATTACCCGCATAAAAATATTTCAGGCACACAAGCGTTTAAGGCGTCTTTACACTTTTAAATCATATGCGTAGGGGTGTCAAAAAATTTGTTACTTAATAAATATGACTTAATGAAATCAAATATTTTTTGTTGACATTCCACTGAAAGGCATGTAGATTATCTTCACGGGCACTGTCAATAACATTGTTGTAACTTACGTGCTGAAGCAATGTTACCCGGTCAAGATGCCACCTTATCGCGGCTAAACACCCGCGAAAATGCGAACTAGATATCAGGTGGTGGCCTGAGCCAGCCGAGCGAGACAGACGATACTTGCGCAACAACAGAGTGGGACGGTAGACGGCGATAGGCACTCGTGAAATCGCGCGCGGCGGGCGAATCGCCCTTCGATTACACTTTTGGCACAGCCCTTAGATGCTTAGACGTAACACTGGGCAGAATCAGTGGTGTCTTACCGATTAAAATAACGGTCGTATAATAATAGGGTTGTGTTGTTTCGTTGACGAGCCGACGTCGAGTGTCGGACCTGGGCGGGCGCGCACTGCCCAGCGCGGCCGCGAGCGCCTCCGCCCGCCCAAGCCCCCCGCGCCCACCCGCCCAGCGGTATAAACATTATTTCGCTCATATTTTACTACTTCACGTGTTTCAAACACGGATAAGTCGTTTTCCACGCACGTTCTATGACAACATTATTTTAAGGTTAAAAGGATTCGGCAATAACGGAGTGTTTACATTTTTAAAGAGATATGAATGTCACATGAATTGGTTGTAAATGTGGTAAAGCTTAAAATTACATGTTGAGTATGTTATCACTATATTATAATGGACAAAAATATTATGATAAATTAATAGTTAGGTAGACAGTGAAGATGCAGTTTTTAAATTACTTATTACAGGTTACATTATAAATTAAGTACATATTAAAAACACAAGGTACTTCCCTATCATGTTTTAAATAATTATCTGTTGACGACGAAAAGTTTTCCCAGAAAATTCCGCTTTAAATACAAAATGTTGGTATTGCTTTTGTCTTTGTCCATTTGTCACCGTAATAACCTTTGTTATGACTACGTTAATGCATTAGTATGCATTTTACTCAAAATATTACTCTACCCCGTTGTAATTTCGTAGTTGTGACTATAAACTCTCTTGAAACAGAAAGTTCTTGAGGTGTGCAATTAACCACCCACACATGCAAGGCGAATGATTTTCCCGTTTTAACTGGTAGGTGTTGCACCTTAAAATCGGGTTGTAAAGATCAATGTTGCGTGGAAGAGTTGATTAAAGCCAGAAATGCAAGATCTAAAATAGTTTCCAGTGGGTAGATCCTACCTGGGATTCTCAAGTTCACAGTTAGTTAAATCTAGGTGTAGAGATTTCCAACATCTGTAATACCTTTAAAATAAGAGATCTATTGACACTTATAGTCGCCTCTAAGACTATTCTTAAAATTTATTCAAACACTAACATGATACTACAGGCCCTAGACTCAAATCCGTCATTTTTGTGGGAATAAAATTTTAAAAAGCTCCTAAATCAAGTAAGCCTTCTGGGCACATCGTTATTCATAATTTATAGCCGGATGTTTGTAATATACCTCGCATTAAATTCAAACTTTTTAGAAAAACAAATTATACGAGCCTCAAACTACTTTGATGCTTGTAAGATTCTTATAGCATCCCCCGCAAGGTCGAGAAGATCCGCTTGACCTCTAATCTTGTTGGTCTAATTATACATTTTCTGCTTTCTGTATCATTATAGGACGTCGGCAATTTGTTCCTGCACGTCATCATGTTGGCAAGAACTGTGTTTTACGACGTTTTTCATAAAAACATATAAATCATCGTTGTTTTGAATACTATAAGTATACAATATCAGTCGATAGTTGTTTGTTTGTTGATAATCAGACCGTATCCTTCCATTCAACTCAAATCTTTTTTTACTTAAACTTTAAAGCACGCAGCGACTACATACTTTAGTTTCTGATTACTATTTTAGTGAAATCATGTACTTACTACACGTATTATTTGAATATCTGAGAGTAACTTTTAGTGTACAAGCATTGTACTAAGACTGGAAAGTGGAAAGTAAAAAATGTTGTAAATTAATTGTTGTGGCATTTTGTACATTCATATATGTCAAGAGAAATAACGTTATCATAAAAAAACTCTACATTTTTATGTCGCCGAATCTGTAAAATAGAATTAATCCAACTGCGTCTTGTTTTTCATGAACTGGTATGTTAGAATGAATTAAGCTTTTGAGAGTACCTACATGCAAGCGCCTACAATAAATTAGACGAACACCAATACAGGGTGGAAACGATAAGTGATCTCATTAGATTATTTCTAAACTACACAAGATATCGACAAACTGATTACTGATCCTGAAAGTGTTTCACGAGCTCTTTCAAACGATATCAGTAATAGGTTACAGAGTTAACTGGATCTATCCAAAAATTCAATGTTTTCAGCCTCCATACTAAATGTATGCCACTATGCTAGCCACACAATATTAGAAGTGTTATTTTTTTCATTTTAAATAATAAACACTTAAAATTAACTCGTAAATTGCATTCTTATTTAAAATTATTCATGCAAAACATTGGCTTTAGGCTTTACTTGCTATAATATTATCAAGACATGAGTGCCATGACTGTGGCAGTAGTAATTGTATGGAAGTTGGAAACATTGAATTTTCGGATAGATTCAGTTTATTTTATAACTTATTATTGGTACCGTTGGATAGAGCTCGTGAAGTACTTTTAGGATCAGTAACCAGTTTTTAGATATCTTGTATATTTTTAATATCATGTGGTTTTACTAAATGTATGGAGGCTGGAAACATTGAATTTACAGATAGATCCAGTTTATTTTGTAACCTATTATTGGTACCGTTGGATAGAGCTCGTGAAGCACTTTCAGGATCAGTAACTAGTTTTTGGATATCTTGTATAGTTTAGAAATAATCGAGTGAGATCACTTATCGTTTCCACCCTGTATAGATAACTGTAATTTTGTTCACTCTTCTCATCTTCGAAGATCTCATCTCATCTTCAAAGATGAGAAGTTAGGTTTAAAAGCAAAAATAATACCTATGTCGATTTTATTATACTAAATTGAATATTAGTCTGTAAAGTATTATAGTAACTTGAAATATTCAGATCCAAGGTGTTTAGATCGAAGCTATGTCTATTATGTATCATAGATAGTTTAATATCAATAAATGCATCACGGCGAAAAGTATTTTCATTAATATTTGCTTTCTTATGTTCATTAACGGTTTACTTACAAATTATATTAAAATAAATTACTCATAGGCTTAATAAATTCTCATTTATTTTTCTAATAGCATTATTATGTGTAAAATTCCAATTAGCAATTTAGCTCTATCACCGCACGGATTCGAGCGACGAAATACCACGCTGCACCGACGCATCGCGTCATAGTCCTACGGTATGACCTGTGGTATGACTGCAACCTTACTGAGTCAATCTGTTTCAGATGTTGATAAACAAAAATATGCCAAGCCAGGACGCCAAATCTTCAATAACGTTAGGTAATTTTTCGTTTTTGCGCTGTCTGCGAGCTGTCGTCACTCTTCCCACGTGCGTTGTCCTGAAATCACGTTTTATCGAATTTTGGCTCATTATCAATATCTATTTTTACGTGGGCCAGCTGAATATCGGCGTTAAACAAACTTCCGATGATACGGGTTCGATTTATTTCCGTAGCTTATGTATTGCCTATTAATATCTCTATTTATTGCTTCGTAACAGTAGGGGAACCTGTTGTACTTAGGCCAGTTTTTCGAATTTTGATTTTTTGAAAAATAATGGTGATAGTTAAACTTGTCTAGTGCAGTTATATTTAAAGATCATTTAATTAACTACATAATTCATTCATAAAATTGTGTATAATTTTAAAAATTTGGGCATACTAGCTGCTAGAAAAAAAAAGGGAAAACTGTCCTAGGTACAACAAACCAGATGTACCTTGGACCGTATACGTACCTATTTAAATTTAAATAAATGCTTATATTCGCTTCAATTTCTTAATTTTCTGTTAAATTATTATTTGAAATACCAATTATTACAGTTATTAGCAACAATATCTAAGTAAAAGTATTTTTTAAAAAAGATCCTCATCCATATTTTTTGTACTAATTATTTTTCACAATTTTTTGGCAACAAATCACTTAAGTTTAAGCCGGCTCTCTAGTCCATGTTTAGCCTTACACAATCAACAAAAATATGACAATATTCAACATTTTTTCTAGAAATTTTTGTTGAATGTTGATATGTTATTCTTATGTCGTGTAGGACAAAATACGCGCTGGAGTGGCTTTAACTTGCAATCTAGTTTTTTTTATTTCTTATCATTTAACTTAAATTCTAGCAAAATATCCATTAAAACCGCTTTATCAACAAAAATAATCTTAAAAAAGTCATATGAAGATACATTATGTAAATTTAAAAAACATTAGAAATTAAAAAAATATATATCAAAAACAGACTTTAAATTGCTATTTTGAGGTCTTCGGGGCATTGTTTCTATAACAGTATAATATGTTTTTTTATTACAATAAAATTCTCATTAAAACGTAATGAAAATCAGTGACCAAGGTACATCGCTAGTTGGGTGGTCAAGGTACAAAATTACGACTACTTTACTTAATAAGCATAATAAACCCACTTCCATTTGAGCTTAGGATCTGAAACTCATATCGTCCAGTAGCTAGATATATAAAGATTATTTTCTAACTATAACCGTTTTTTCAAACATGCAACATTTTTCATAAATTGACATGAAGTAAACCTCCAAAATCTCACTGCGTCAGTGTAAAATATTAAATTACCATTTTTTCTTGTACTTGCACGGCGTCGGCGAATCTTAGCTAACTTCACTTTAATGTTGACAAATAACGTATGTACTACCCTAGACAACTTTTCATAAAACCGCATAATTTAAAAAATATATACAATTGTTTTAGGTACAACTCTGTCCAAGGTTCAACAGGTTCCCCTATTTAGTACCTACTAATCTAGATAAATCTAAGCAAGGGTATAAACATAATGATATCTAGCATCATAGTGCTATCGTTTTCAAATAGATTGACGATAACATTGGTTTCTAGAGATCCCCAAACCTGGTAAACAAAAGCTCGTGCTGACATCTAAGTACCCGGTAGGTATCAAAAATTAAATCATCCTACGAGTATTAGGTATGCTGAAGATTTTGAATAATTGATGATGATGCCGATTCTTAAAATACACATCTAAAAAATAATAATATCAGTGCAAATCACTCTCTAAAGTGCGAATCAGTAGTTACTTACCTATTCGACTATT